AAAATAGTTCTATTTCTGTGTTGTATCTTTTTCTGGTTTAGGAATTGAGGTGATGCTGGTATCTTAGAAGGAGTTTGGAAGGATTCCTTCCCTTTCAGTTGTTTTGAATTGCTTGAGAAGAATTGTCTGGTAGCTATCTGGTAGAATTCAGCAGTGAAGCCATTCACTCCTGGGCTTTTCTTTGTTGGGAGGGTCTTTATTACAGATTCAAGCTCTGTCTTGGTTATTGGTCTGTTAGGTTTACTATGTCTTCATGTTTCCAGAAATCTATCCATTTCTTCTAGGTTATTTGATTCATTGGCATACAGCTCTTTGTAGTAATTCCTGATCGTGTTTTTATTTCTGTGCTATCTATTGTTACATACATTCCCTTTTTCATCTCTGATTTTATTGATTTGGGTCTTCTCCTTTTTTCTTTGGTTAGTTGGGCCAATAGTATATCAGTTTTGTTTATTCTTTCAAAAAACAGCCCTTTGTTTTGGTAATATTTTGTTTTTCTTGGTTTTAATTTTGTTTATTCTCTAATTTTAATTTTCTTTTCTATCACTAATTTTGGATTTGGTTTGTTGTTATTTTTCTAGGTCCTTGAGATGCACTGATAGATTATTCATTTGGTGCCCTTTCAATTTCTTGATATAGGCACAAATTGCTGTAATTGCTTCCCTCTTAACAATGCTTGTGCTATATCGCATAAGCTTTGATATATTGTATTGTCTTCCAGAACTTTTTTGATTTCTCCTTTGATTTCTTCTGTTCATTAAGGAGCATGTTGTTCAGACTCCATGTGTTTGCATATGTTTTACAGATTCTTGAGTTGTTGATTTCCAGCTTTTTCCCATTGTGGTCCAAGGAGATGCATGACATGATTTCAGTTTATTGAATTTGCTGAGACTTGCTTTATGGCCTATCATGTGGTCTATCCTTGAGAAAGTTGCGTGCACTGGTGAGAAGAATGTGTCTCCTGCAACTGTAGGATGAAAAGTTCTGTAGATAGCCATTCGGTCCACTTGGTGTATACTGTCAAATCTCTTGTTTCTTTGCTGATGTTCTATCTGGTTCATCTGGCCATTGCTGAAAATGTAGCATTAAGGTCCCCCATTATTGTTTAATTGGAATCTATGTCTCTCTTTAGATCCATTACCATTTTTTTAAATAGCCAGGCACCCTATAATTGGGTGCATATAAGTTTATTATAGTCACATCTTCCTATTGAATTGATCCCTTAATCATTACATAGTTCCCTTCTTTGTCATGTAACAGTTTTGTGTTAAAGTCTATTTTAAGTTTTGTGTTTAAGTCTATATCAAGATGGTTACACCAGCTCTTTTTTTTGGTTTCTGTTAGCATGGAATATCTTTTTTCTATCATTTTACTTTCTGTTTGTGTGCATCTTTGGTGGTGAGATGTATTTCTGTAGGCAGCAAATAGATAGGTCTTGTATTCACTCAGTAAGTCTGTGTATTTAGATGAGAGAATTTAGGCCATTTACATTCATGGTTATTATTAATGAGTAATGGCTTGTTACTGCCTTTTCTCCATAAATATTCCTACTATTTACTTTGGATGTCTTTTATACTTTTACTGGGAGATTTTCTTTCTTCACATTTTTTCATAATGATGACTCTGTTTCTGTGTGTAGCACATCCTTAAGCATCTTTTGTAAGGCTGGACACATGAAAAAATTTTTGAATTTATGTTTGTTATGGAAGGTATTTATTTTACCTTCATTCATACAATGAGAGATTTTCAGGGTATGGTATTCTAAGTTGTCAGTTTTTTTCTTTTAAGACTTGGAATATATCTCACCATTCTCTCCTAGCCTTTAGGGTTTCTGATGAAAAGTCAACTGTGAGTCTAATTTGAGATTCTCCAGAAGTAATCTGGCATTTTTCTCCTGCACATTTTAGAATCTTTGATGTATATTTTACTGTTGAGAGTTTGACAACAATGTGTCGTGGTGAAGATCTTTTCTGGTCATGTCTATTAAGAGTTCTCTGTGCTTCCTGTACTTGGGTGTCCCTTTCTTTATCCAAATTAGTGAATTTTTCTGTGAGTATTTCACTAAAAAAGCCTTCTAATTCATTCTCTTTTTGCTCCTTCAGGAACTTCTAAGACCTAAATGTTGGGCCATTTGATTGTATCCTGTAAATCTCTAATACTGCTTTTAATTTTTCTAATTTCTTCTTTCTCTTCTTCTTCCTCCTCCTCCTCCTTCTTTTTCTTTCTCTTCTTTTTCTTTTTTGGTTTGACAATAAAATTTCCAAAGATTTGTCTTGCAGTGCAGATATTCTTTCTTCTGCCTCATTGAGTCTGTTAAGGCTTTCCACCACATTTTTTATTTGTTCTATTAAATTCTTCATTTCTAATACTTTATTTTGGTTTCTCTTTAAAATCTCAATTTCATGGGAAAAAATCTCATTCATGTCATGTATGGATTTCTTTAAATCATGGAATTGCTTCTGAGTAATCCTATGATTACTCTTTTGATTCCCATTTTAACAGTCTCTTCATTTTTACATCTAGTATTAAAGTATTTTGTTCTATTGGGGGCATCATGTTGTCTTATTCTTGTTTCTTGAATTTCTGCACTTATTTTTAGGCATTTGTGGAGATATTTGTTGGTATTTTTTACTGCTATGGCTCTTACCTTGAGACTGTGCCTTTCTGGCTTAGTGGAGTGTCTGTTCTTTGAAGGAATACCCAGAGGCGTATACTGGGTGTGGTGAGGGAGCTCTGTTCAGTGATCCAGGGTGTGGGGAGTATTCAAGTGACACCCAATTTGGGCTTGGTAGATCTTTATTTTTATTAGAGGGGAGTGTTTGATCAGCTCTGTTGGTGTAGTCTTACCCTTACCTCCTCTTCTCTAAGGCAACCAATGCTGGGGTGCTAGCCCCAGTGGGTGCAATATTCATCCACATTGCCACATGAAACACTCTAATGATCTATGTAGTCCTCATTGTGAGCACAGATCCCAATGCACTGACCCACCCCAGGTCATCAGCGAGCCCCAAGTGTGTGGAGCCCCCTATAGTGACTGCCCAGAGACCCAGTCATACTCTGTACCCTCCCACACAGCCACAGTGTTTCCACAGTTCTAGTGCACAAGGCTTCCATCCACAGGGTGCTGAGTATCTATTCCACCCTGCCAGTCCATCCTATCCACAGAGAGGCAGAGACGTTCCCAGAGCCAGTTGCCTGTGAGTACTCCACCCATGCAGCCTGAGCCCCAGAGCTTGTGATGTGCTGGGAGGCTGGTGGCACCTCATAGTCCTACGTGGACACCCGCTCCCTGTCAGTCCTCCTAGCCAGACTCAGGCTTCTCTGCTGGTTGCTGGGCATGTGGACACAAGTTGGCATAGCTGTTTCGCATGTCCAGAATGGAGCCTTCCCTCTCTCAGCCAGTTGCAGGCCGTCATTGTTGTGGGACTGGGGAGAGAGAAACCTGCCTCTTTTTTTTCTCTAGGTTGGCAAGTTCATTGTTCCCCCCAGGGCTGGGGCAAATTCAGGCCAGGCTCTCCTGTCTCGCAGCCATAGCACCAGTGGCTTGTGCTGCTGCAGTCTTCTCTAACCTCACTCTCCAAAGCTGGTTTGGGACTCTTGGCTTCAGGGGTCTGTGTTGTGTCTGTGCTGCATGTCCACAACCTCCATACAGAGCCATAGCATCCCGCTAACTTGAGTGGAGTTTCCATTGCAGTTTTCTCCTTAATTTTTCCCTGAGATTGTACTGTCTCTGCTTTTTTCTTTTTTCTTTTTTAAACTATCTCCCCCCTAGCCTAGAGCAGTAAGCTTCCTCCCTATTCTACCATCTTGGAATCTGGTACTTTTTTTAACTAAGGAAACTCTGTTCACCTTTAACCTTTTGTCTCTGATAGGGTTATCCAAACAGGATTTTCTTATTTATATGTGTTTCAGAGTTCTTCTTTATTAGTCCATATTCATCCAGTCTACTTTGAACTTTGGATAAAGTTCCTCACTAGAAGATTTCTAGGAAAATCTCGTGTTTGCTGCACAATGCTGGCTGTGGTTGTGAGATGGTATAGATCCCTGCCTTTGTACTCTGACTGCCTGGCTGGCATCTAACTTGACTTGGTAGCATCACTGTTGTCTGTGCTGTGCAGATGGAATGAGAGAAGGCTCATTTGTTGTATGCATGTTGCTCTGTGAAGCAGAAATCCTGCTCCATCACAACAAACATTCCATGACAATTGCAGGGTGATTCTGACATATGCCCTGGGGAGCTGACACACATTTAGCTACTGGAGACATCACAAAAATATCAACTTGTGAAATCTTCAAGTAATCAGGGCTCTTAAAAAACCAAGACCAGAACAGAAACCCCACCCCATTTTTTAAAAAGATTTATTTATTTATTCGAGTGGGAGAGTTACAGACACAGAGAGAAAGGTCTTCCATCTACAGATCCACTCCCCAAAATGGCCGCATGGCAGGGGCTTGGCCAATCTGAAACCAGGAGCCAGTAATTTCTTCTGGGTCTCTCACATGGGTGCAGGGGCCCAGGCACTTGGGCAATCCTCTGTTGCTTTTCCGGAACATTAGCAGGGAGCTAGATTGGAAGTGGGGCAGTTGGGACACAAACTGAAGCCCATATGTGATGCCAGTGTTACAGGTAGAGGTGTAGCTTACTATGCCACAGCGCTGGCCCTGAGAAACTCGCTCTTAAAATTGACAGAGTCGCACGTAAATCTGAGAAGTGTAGATCGCTCTCATTACATGTTTCCTTATATCTTCCTGTCTGTCTCACACAATTGGAGAGAAAAAACCCAGTATTTTAAAGTTAATACTCTTTTGATTCAAAACTCCAGAAGTACACTCAAATATGTTATTTTCTAGTCAAATAAAATTATGTGCAAATAGAGTACTTAAAATTGCCTTGTTATTAAAAATTGCTGTATTTATATTGACTTGTTAGTGAAATTTGTAAAAATATCAGGGAAAGATTACATGTTATTCTTTCATTTTCTTTAATTTTATTTTCCCAGCCTTGTTCTTGTATTGGGTGATGGCTTTTATTACAAAAACAATAAAACTGGTCAAGTACTGGCAGTCTGGTTGGGGGGTGTCAGACCTGCGCTTCTGCATCACGGGCATCATGGTCATCTTGAATGGGCTGCTGATGGCAGTGGAGATCAATGTCATTCGGATCAGAGTAGGTATCTAATAATCTTTTGTTTGATTGGATGAATTTAGGACCCCAACATTAAAGATCAGGCAACCAGAAGTCATTGGTACTTCAAAGACTGAGCAAATGTATGTGATTTAAATGTGTAAATCTAAAGTAGAATTAATATGAGAAGTCTCAATGTGCCCCTAGAATCTATTCATTCACAAATAATAGTTGAGTGTTTCTTCAGTGCCAAGTGCATGCTTGGTGTATGTTACAGATTAACCTGTTTCTCTCAGGAAGTCCATCATTCACACTTGTTCCTGATCATACCTAAGTTAAGCCAAATAATGCATCTCCAGAAGCTTAGGACTGAAAAGAAGATAATGTAATCCAGTGTGCTCATTTTACTGATGAAGAAACTATAGAGCTGGCTTTAGTTGTAGGTCCAGAGTAGTATGGTCAAGTTCCATACATGGTTTGTGGTCACAGAACCACTATGCTTTTTACCACATCACGCTGTCAGTCATGTTGTATGAGATATTAGTGAGTGACTTTTCAGTATTCATTTTTTACAGCAGACAACTTGAGTTTGCTGCAGGTGTGCTAAAATAAAAGCCACAGTGAGTGCAGAGAACAGTCTTTTAGCATCAGTGAAGCACACATTAACAGCAACTCAGCAATGACATTGTTAATGTGTTTAAAAATCTAAAGAATGTCAATCTTGACTTACTTGTTACTCTACCAGAGGATATTATAAAGATTAATTCTCAATAAATACTAACTTTGAAAAGGTCAGTTGATTATTTTAACTTTGGCCCCGTGTGTGTTAAATGTGAAAAGCTAGTGTTTAACTAGTTTATCTAGTTAACTAGTCACAACAAAAGGGGGATATTTCAAAAAATATTTCAGGAGGGGATGGAAGGAGGGATTAAAATGCAAATTTTGACGGCCTGAAATGAAAATATGGTAAAGACTGGAATTTTATTTTTAATACGTGGGGAAAGAATTAGACTAATATGGTGGAACTGTCTTGCCACAGAGATACGTATTCTTCATGAATCCTCAGAAAGTAAAGCCTCCCGAAGACCTCCAGGATCTGGGCGTGAGATTTCTTCAACCGTTTGTGAATTTACTGTCCAAAGCCACATACTGGTGGATGAACACACTGATTATATCTGCTCATAAGAAGCCCATTGATCTGAAGGCAATTGGGAAATTGCCAATAGCCATGAGAGCAGTAACAAATTATGTTTGCCTGAAGGATGCCTATGAAGAACAAAAGGTAACTGAGTGTGTGTCTTCCCTATCCATAGCTTTAATGGGTCTATTACGTATAGAGGTACCAAGCTCAAATAATTTCTGTCATTCAAGAACAAATTTCCTCTGTCTTACCTAGTAGTTTTGACTCCCATTCATTGGGCTGTTGAGGAAAGACTTAAAGAGCCAGTGAGGTAGAATTAGGTTATTTTGCATTTGGAGAGTAAGAATTAAACTCAATGATAGTGTGTATATTCCATATTACTATTAAAAAATACATGGCATTTTTATTAAGTATTTTCTCAAGCATCATGTTAATACTTAAGTTATATATAGGTTATTCAGATCATACTCACTCTTTGTTAAATAAAAGGATTTTAAGTAAAAACTTTAAAATAAAATTTTTTAAGTCAAAGTTTTAAATAAAAGAATTATTTCCTTATCTGAAGGACAGAGAGAGGCAGAGAGAGAGTGAGAGTGAGAGCTTTTTACCCCTTGGTTCACTCTCCAAATGGCTACAGTGACCAGGGCTTGATCAGGCCAAAGTCAGGAGCCTGGAACTCTGTTTGGGTCACCTACATAGATGGCAGAGGCTCATGAATGATCTTCCACTACTTTCCCAGTCACATTAGCAGGGTGCTTGATCAGAAGTAGAGCATTTGGAACTTGAACCAGTGCTCATATAGGATGCTGGCGGCTCAGGCAGTTTGCTTAATCCTCTGAGGCACAATGCCGGCCATGATACTGACTTTTAAAAATTAAAATTCTTAATTACTGACAAAAATTTGGATAGTATAGTTTAAAATTGGGAGTCTAAATTTTAAGTGCAAGGGTGGCATCTACCTACTCTATGTGTCATCCCATTTACCTTCTTTAATCTTTTGAAGATTTATTTGAGAGAGTTAGAGAAAGAGAGATCTTCCTTCCACTGGTTCACTCCCAAATGATTGCAGTGGCCAGAGCTGGGCTAATCCAAAGTCCGGAGCCAAGAGCTTCTTTGGGATCTCCCACGTAGGTGCAGAGGCCTAAGGACTTGGGCCATCTTCCGCTGCTTTCCCAGGCCATTAGTGGGGAACTGGATCAGAAGTGGAGCCACTGGAACTTGAAGCAGCGCCCAAATGGGATGCTGGCACCATAGGCAGGGACTTAACCTACTATGCTATGGTGCCGGCCCCATCCTGTTTACTTTCTAAAATTGGTTTCCTCTGGTACTTTCTTTGAATGTTAATTATTACTTTGAAAGCTTCAAAGATAAAAATGTGGAAATTTTCAGTTTGTCTTACTATTATTTTGGAATGTCACAGTATTAGATGTGTTTTGTATTGCAGTTATCTTCAAATCCCAGAAGACTTAAAAAATTTTAGTATTCACTACTACCCTGGAGAGAAAGTAGGGTATGGTGAATAAGTTACAAGTTTTTGGCTATTGTAAGTCAAGATCAACAAAGCATTTATGGTAAATGATGACACTGACTTTTGTTTTGTGGTAGACGTGAGTGTTATGAAATTAATATTGCCGGAAATGAGTACTATGAATGAACCTGAGTCATTTCTCTGGTTTCACCTCTGGGAAAAACATTGCATCATATTTTAAAAACTTCTCTGCTGAAGTAAAAATTTGCAGTATGGTGTAGGCATAGCTTTAATTTTCTTAGTGCTTTTAACAACATAGATCAGGGCTGGCGCCGCAGCTCACTAGGCTAATCCTCTGCCTGCGGCGCCGGCACACCGGGTTCTAGTCCCGGTCGGGGTGCCGGATTCTGTGCCGGTTGTCCCTCTTCCAGGCCAGCTCTCTGCTGTGGCCAGGGAGTGCAGTGGAGGATGGCCCAAGTGCTTGGGCCCTGCACCCCATGGGAGACCAGGAGAAGCACCTGGCTCCTGCCATCGGATCAGCGCGGTGTGCCGGCCGCAGCGCGCTGGCCGCGGCGGCCATTGGAGGGTGAACCAACGGCAAAAGGAAGACCTTTCTGTCTGTCTGTCTCTCTCTCTCACTGTCCACTCTGCCTCTCAAAAAAAAAAAAACAGACACACACATAGATCAGGTTGAATTTGGTACAGTAATGTCTTTTGTCAGTAAACTTTAGAAAATAACAGTCCTCTAACAGAAAATACATTATGAAGCACAACTGAGGTCCATCCCATTGAATTGGTTTATTTGTTGCAAAGAAAAATTTTATCCACCTCGTCCCCAAATTTTAATGATGGATATTATCCAGGTTTTGAGATCTGTACAGTTAACAGCTGTAAAGATGTGAAGCCATGAGTTAATTGAAGCATTTTAGGCATCCTTTATTTTGCCTTTCTTTTAGGAATACCTAGCAAACACAAAGTTACCGTAGTTTTTGGAAAGTGTTGACTACCATTCACAGAGATGGAAAAACTGGTAGGAAAAATAATTTGAGGTTGGGAAGATTCAGTTTGTTTAGGTTGTAATAGTCTGGTAGATAAACCTCTGGTGATATACATACTTCAGAAAATTTGGCTGGTGTGTCTATAACTTTAACTTCTACTGTTGTTCCCTCATTAAAGATTAACAGATGGTATTATTTAATGTCTATGAGAGACACAAATTTTCCAAGCCAAAAGAAATTAAAACTGTACATAGTTTTAAGTCTTTGGCATCATCTTTTGACAATTAAAAATAATAGAATCTCAGAAATTCTGACCTGTTTTTATTCTGTTGACTTCATTGAAATGCATTTAATACCAACTCTTAGTTACAATGAAAGAATATATAGAATTGTGTATTCTATACTGAAAAGGACTCATTAAAATTTCTCTAAACTTTAAGTTGTCATTTTATTTATGTATGTATTTACTTGAAAGGGGAAGAGGGAGGGAGAGAGGGAGAGTTATTGATTGATTATTCATCCACTAGTTGACTCCCCAAATGTCCACAACAGTTGGGCTGTGCCAGTCTGAAGTTGGGAGACAAGAAATCCTGCTGGGTCTCCCATAGAAGGTAGCAGAAATGAGTGTATTTGAGCTGTTAGTGCACAGCCAGCATATATCAGCTAGCTAGGTTAAAAGTGGGGCAGGGATGCACACCCAGGCACTCTGATATGAATTGTGGGAATCCTCACCCTAGACCCAAACACTTGCCTCTCTACGCTTTCAAAGTATTTTCAGGACTCTTGTAAGGAATTTGCATAGTTGCTGATATTAGTTGCTGCCATAGAAGATTTTACTTTGGTTTATCTGGTTTCACTTTCAGAAAAAAGCAGCAGATCATCCAAACCGGACTCCATCTATATGGCTTGCCATGTACAGAGCTTTTGGACGGCCGATTCTGCTTAGCAGCACATTTCGGTATCTGGCTGACTTACTGGGATTTGCCGGGCCGCTCTGTATTTCTGGAATAGTTCAGCGTGTAAATGAAACCCAAAATGGAACAAATAACACAACCGGAGTAAGTTTGTGATACTTGTCAAAGGAAGCATGTTACTGGCAGATTTTGGTGTAATGGTCACTTTCCATTAATACGTTCCTGTGAGTAGCTTAAGCAGTCTTACTGACAGTTTGAATGCTTATGTTAGGACAAAAATAATCATTTTTCTTGTATAGAAAGTCATGTGTCTATGTATTCACTGAAGGTAGCTGACCAACAAAATTATTTTGGGGATTCAATGCCCATAAATATTTGGTGAACCTCTGTATGCCAGAAATTATGGACAGAAATCTTGCATTCTTTGGATCTTCATAGCAATCTTTTAAAGAATTTTCAGCATGAGGAATGGTTGAGGCATATATTTAGAGGCCCATGACCAATGATATTAAAATATGATTTATAATATTGTACATTTCTTTTTTCATATAATAAAATTCATTAATCTCTTTGCTAATGAATAAAGCAAATAGTGATATATTTTATTATGCATTATATTGTTATTTGGGAGATATATGGTATATATTTTCACCTAAAAAGTTATGAGTTTAATGCTTTTTAAAAAAGGATTTTTTTTTTGTTTATTTGAAAGGCAGACTTGCAGAGAAATGGAGGCAGAGAGAGAGAGAGAGGTCTTCCATGTGCTGGTTCATTGCCCTAATGGCTACAATGGCCAGAGCTGGGCTCATCTGAAGCCAGGCGCCTAGAGCTTCTTTGGGGTCTCCCATGTGGGTGCAGGGACTCAAGGACTTGGGCCATCTTTTATAGATTTTCCAGGCCATAGCAAGGAGCTGCATTGGAAGTAGAGCAGCCAGGACTTGAAGCAGGTGCTGGCATTGCAGGAGGTGGCTTTACCTGCTAAGCCATAGCGCCACCCAAGTTATATGTTTAGATTACATTTATAACAATAAATGTATAGTATATAATTCAGTCAAATTTGTTATGAATATGTAACCTTTCATTTTCCATTCTTAAGAAGGTCTGGATCATGAACATTCTAGTTTAAAATAATTTATTTCCCTAGTTTCGTAGATACTAACTCTCGTTCAGATTGATTAACTCTCACTTTATATTCCTTCAATCTGATTGTCATGCTCATCTTTCCATCTGTTTAAATTTTGTGCATTATCATAGCCTATGTTAAATGCTGCCTCGGCAGCAAAGCCATTTTCTGATTATCCTACTTGAAATTTGCTTCTCCTCAGTATTTGCCTAACACTTGATTAACTTTAGGTGGATACTTTCTACATCTGCCGTCTTCATAATAAACCATGTTACTCACGGATCAGTTCATCTTTTTGGGTTGTGAGTTCTTTGAACAGAATGATTGAACTATTCACATTTGTACCTACAATTCTCAGCCTGGATTCTTGCACATATTCGTGTTTAATTACTATTGAAGTGAACCACATATTTTCACTGCTGAATGCACTTGCCATTTTTGGCCTTGCTACCCTAATTAGATACATATCTAAATTCTGCAGAGTACTGCCACCATCCTTGTCTCTTACACATATTGACCATGTGTTTTTCTGAGACACGGTAGAACTTGTGGCTTTATATGTATCTCCATGACACAAGTGTGAGGGACTAGAGGTAGAGGCTGAACTTTTGATGTAGAAAATGAGGAGTATCCGAATGGCCATAATGTGCTTAGTTGATTGTTACCTTTGCTTGCTTCTAACAAACATGTTTCCATATAAAACCATCATTAGAAACAAAGATGAAGGGATTTTACATATCTATGATTAATTTAGTCACATTCCTACTAAAATGAACTTTCCTAAGTTGTGTTTGGTTACTGGAAGAGTCACATGGGTAAAGTCAGTAATCTGATATTTTATACTTTGTAACTTACTTCACTAATATAAATTATGATACGGAAGAACTGGGAAAAGTCAACTTGTAGAATTATTCTGAAGTAGTAAGGTTGTGGAACTTGTATTTTATTTTCATTGATTTTACTGACAGCTCTCAGTTTTGTGGTTCCTAGTTCTACATTACAGTCTAAACTAAATTCTACTTTTTATTTTTCCTGCTTCTCATTTAGCTTAGATAGAATATGAAGCATTTTCCAAAAGTTCATGGAAAATGTGTTATAAAAATCTCTGCATAGATGTCAGTGTTTTTCAGCCAGATGGATTTCTTTTCTAAATTTCAGTTTCCCCTGAACTTCTCAATTATCTTTTCTTTGCAGGACAATGTATGCAAATTTTTAAAAATATGCATTGACCCCTTTTCTACAAAAGACATTCTAGCCATCTTAAGTCATTGGGGATTTTATTCATCACTACTTTTTTGTATTTGTGTACATTCTAGGGGAAAGCCAAAATTGCCTGTTGTGGCTCATTCTACTTACATTATGATGACTTTGAGTATTTATATGTGAATACCATATAGCTTTATTTAATGTAGACTATAGACTTGGTATACGAAAAGACTTGCTTAAATTTGTCTCTTTTTTTTTCTTTTGGGACAAGATTTCAGAAATTCTCTCATCCAAGGAATTTCTCGAAAATGCTTATGTTCTTGCAGTTCTTCTCTTCTTGGCTCTTATTCTGCAAAGGACGTTTTTGCAGGCTTCCTACTACGTAACCATAGAGACTGGCATCAACCTCCGCGGAGCTCTGTTGGTAGGTGCAAGCTTTGATTGGTCTTTGTGTCTCAAAAAGTCCATATCTGATCCAGGGAAAGGAACAGTAGTAGCTTCACTTTTTCACTTTTGCTTTTTCATTCCACTTGGGCTTTGATATTACAACAGCAACATTTGCAGGATGGAAGAAATACAGAGCTAATTAGAGTATTAACTTAAAAATAACATAACATGTTAAGAAAAAAATATTTAATTCTTGTATTTACTCATCCCTGATTCTGTTTGTTATTGAGCTTATGTTTAAAGTTGAATATATATTTTGATGATATTTCTAGAAAAAGGTATCTAATTGAGGACTAACAGTACACTAAAAAAGTAGACTTTGAAGGTGGGTATACAGGACTTTGTTATTTTTCAAAAAGTTTAAAACGTCTTCGATGAAAATAATTATAGTGCTGATGTTAAGTTTTAAAGTGTGTCTTGTTTTTTTTTTTTTGCAGGCCATGATATACAATAAAATACTCAGGCTCTCTACATCTAACTTATCCATGGGTGAGATGACCCTGGGACAGATCAACAATTTGGTTGCCATTGAAACCAATCAACTCATGTGGTTCTTGTTCCTGTGCCCCAATCTGTGGGCCATGCCTGTTCAGGTAGATCATGATAACTAAGATTCTCATTTGCAGAGGGGAAAAAAAAAAAAAATGAAGAGCAAGACAATTAGCTCAGTACTGGCATACTCTTTGAATGTGCTAATGTTATATTTGTTTTACAGACAGGTAAGCTGAGACTCATCAATACATTAAGAAAGTACAGTTAGGAATTTTTGCTCTACTGTTCCATTGCACAGTACTTAATCTCTGAAAGCATTATTTCTGTAATTATAAAATTGGAATAATGATAGTATCTGCTTTGTAGAGTTGTGGAAATTGTCAAGATTTAATGCCAGTATGTGTAAAGCATTTGCAACAATGTCTAGCATTCTGTGGTGATTGCTCCTAGTTGGTATTACTGTGTAAATTCTTCCAAGTCACAGAGCCAAGATTTGGCCCCTTTCATTTTGACAGACTCTCTTACAGCTTTGCTAAGATGGAGCGATGGATTTAATCTACTCCATAGCATTAATAGCTAGTATGTTATAAAATATCAGGCTTTTTAGGTGTTAGGAACACTGACAAACCAGAGGACTATTTAGATTTCTTTTTTGTAAAACAGCATTTTAGTAAAGACATGTGGTTAATCCCCTACCTCCAACTGGGTAAAAATGGCAAAAGAAATGGATTCTGGTTTTTTTTTTTTTTTTTTTTTTTTTGCTGTCGTCTTAAATATTTTTCGCCATCTGAAGCTTTGCATTCTGTAGATGGAGCTTAAACTGTAGACGTATTTTTTTTTAAAAGATTTTTATTTATTTATTTGAGAAGTAGAGTTACAGACGGTGAGAGGGAGAGACAAGAGAAAGGTCTTTGATCCGCAGGTTCACTCCCCAAATGGCCACAATGGCTGGAGCTGCACTGATCTGAAGCCAGGAGCCAGGAGCTTCCTCTGGGTCTCCCACGTGGGCGCAGGGGTCCAAGGACTTGGGTCATCCTCCACTGCTTTCCCAGGTCACAGCAGAGAGCTGAATCGGAAGAAGAGCAGCCGGGACTAGAACCGGTGCCTATATGGGATGCCGGCGCCGCAGGCGGAGGATCAACCCACTGTGCCATGCACTGGCCCTGTAGACATATTTTTGACAGAATCTGTCACCTATGTACCTGGGTACTACATTTATTAACAGTGTATAAAATAATAAAAGAGATATGCTAGTTTTTTAACTTTTCGTCTCATTTTTAAAGTGGAAGGAGGAGCCAAGTAGTGTAGTGCTTGGCACAAAAGTAAAATGAAGATATGTTTTGTTTTATCAAAATGTACTTATGGTAGTCCATTAAATAGCTGCCTGTGTTGTATAAATAAGTGCACTGAGAATCCCACAATGCACTGAATGACTGCTTTTGTGAGTGAATTCAGGGGAGACTTTGTTTAGATGAGAATTCCTAGTGTACCTAATTCACTTGCTAGCAAGCCTGTGTCCTTGCCACCAGAAAGCAGTTATGTTCTCATGGCATAGAGTATGTGCTTAAACTGTGTAGCCACAATTCACGAACTGAGCTTTTGAGCCATGATAAATTGAGCTCTAGGAAAAAAAAATATTTCCATGCTAGCAAAATCAATTCTTGAGTCTTTAAAGGAATACAAGGAAAGTGTCAAACCAAGGAGAATAGCCATATGGTTTAGGCTTGGATTTTGGTAAATAAGTATAAAAAGGGAAGTGAGACAGGGAGGTATTGCAACTTTGGGTTCTTACCAGTTCCAGTGAAGCCTTGCCTTCTTGGCATGACGTGATGATTGGATTCCAGATAATTCTACCAGTCAACAACCAGGCATCCTTGAAGTTAGGATAATTCAAAGAGAAAATGGAAGGTTGAGTGATAGCATTTTCCAGAAAAAATGCTCTGCCATTTAAAACATATTAAGTCTGCTTTAGAAGGTCAGGAGCATCATGGGCGCAGCCTGCAACTTCATCCAGTAAATAGATTTGACACCAGTTGCGCAGCTCATCATACTAAAAATAAATTCCTAGTGCTTAGCCTTCCTCAAATAAAAAATAGTTAGAACCCAGCTGTCACAGTTGAGTTGACTTCCAAATAAACTTAATAATTAAGAGGTACTACATTTCCATTAAAAATATGTCCTTTGCTGCAGCGGCTCCCACAGTCTCATTCGTGCCCATGTGTTTCTCTTGCTAGATCATCATGGGAGTGATTCTGCTCTACAATTTACTTGGATCCAGCGCATTGGTTGGTGCAGCTGTCATTGTACTCCTTGCACCAATGCAGTACTTCATTGCCACAAAGTTGGCAGAAGCTCAGAAGAGCACTCTTGTAAGTGACATCTCTTGGAAACTTGATGAGGAAGATACAGTCATGCTATTTCATTTTTCTAATATAGGAAGTTCCTACATACCACTCAGGACAATTTGGAAGTCATTGTATTTCATGTTAATCCTTAGGCAGTGAATGTGTGTTTCTTATGTTGCAAAAATAATTTATAGAAGTGGATTGGAAATGTAAGACTTGACAGTCTGAGAATTAAAATACCCGATTCACAATTTCTGCTGTTTTTAAGCGCAGTAAGGTGATGAGACTAGGGATCTCCTTCAGTCTCTTGTGGACAGAATACAGTTGAGTATAGTTGGAGGCCACTGTATGTCAGTTACTGATATGGAAGAAATGGATCAAGAGCTGAGGGAGGGGCCAGAGATGGAATGTCCCCAGGGGACTTAAGCCATGTGATGATCTACAGAGTGACATTGACATGTGTCCTCGGCAGCTGCTGTGACTCAATGTGTTCATGGTCAACTTGACAAGCCAGGAAGAGCCGAGTTTTTGACCCTTTCTGGCTTCAATTTGCCATGAAATCATTTTATTTGAGCAAGAATTGGCTTCTTTTAAAGAAGTACTTGCAAATAACAAATTGTTGACAGCATGTTTAGAAATAAAGGTTGATTAAATACGAGCAAGAATGTGTGTAAATCAGGCGTAAAATGCAGAGATGTTGCCACTGATGGAATGGTCTCTCCAGTTGGTCTTTCCACTGTGACAGTGAGTTGTCAGTCACACATTGGCTTTTATCACGTTTTTCTCTGCTGCTTCGAATGAGGCTGCTCCTCGTTGCTGCCTGAGCCAGCTCTGCTTTGTACTCCAACAGACAAGTACAGGAAGGTGTGGAAAAGGGGCACAAGTGGAGAGGCAAATGTCTTCAAACATCTGTCTCTCATTTAGCCATTCAGGCCATATTCATTCACTCACCCAACCATCACCTGATAGACACTTAAGACCTTGAAAAGTCAAAAAGATGGAAAAAAGAAAAGAAAGAACCGAGGCAGTTTCTACTTTTGCATTCCCCTTTCTCTTTGTGGCCCCCGCATTGCCCTTGTGATATTTAATGGATCATATTGTTCCTTGCTAGTAAGAACTTAAAAGAAATGTGTTAAAATCTCGTGAAGTTCAAGGTAATAGTCTTGATTTCAGCAACTGTATTATGAAACTACAGTGTGACTGCACACAATACTTTACTCTCATGTTCCCAGATCAGGAGCCAGCTAACTCTACTTAAATTTACATTTTTTTTCTTTTTCTAAGTATGATTGGTCATGCTGAGGAGAGAATAAAATGATTTGGATGTTAGGAGCCATTGTAGGTTCTCTATCATTTCCTTATATTATGTCCATACTATATCTGCTGACTTTATTCAAGGAAATCGTGGGAAATGAAAGATTCTAAAGCATAGCAACGTAGATACAACAGCTTTTAGAAGGAAATAAGTTTTGAGGCCATCTAATTAAAATCTTCACTTCAATACACTTGTTTTTGTTTATTTGAAAGAGAGATAAGGAGGGAGGGGGAGAGCTCTTAAGTCTTCTGATTCGCTTCCCAAATGCCAGCAACAACTGGGGCTGGGCCAGGCTGACCCAGGCTGAAGCCAAGAGCCTAGAACTCAGTCTGAGTCTTCCACATGGGTGACAGGGACCCAAACACATGAGCCATCACTTGCTGCCTCCCAGGGGCACATCAGCAGGAAGCTGGAATTGGAAGCAGAGCCGGGATCTCAGCACAGGCACTCTGATATGGGATGTAGGTAGCCCTGCTGGCAGCTTAACTGCTGTACCAAATGCCTTGACCTTCAACTTTTCATTTTAAAGTAGAGGGGTGGAGAGTTGACAAGGTGCAGCCAGTTAAGCTTCTGCTTGGGATGCCACAACTCACACAGGAGTCCTGGTTCTCCTGGCTACCCTGCTTCTGATCCATCTTCATGATAATACATCCTAGCAGGCAGCAGATGATGGCCCTAGTGCTTGGGCCCCTGCCATTCACAAGGTACCTGGGTGGAGTTCTGGACTCCTGGCTTCTGCCTGACCCAGCCCTGGCTGTTGTGGACATTTGGGGTGTAAACCATTGTATGGGAGATGTCTCTCTCTGTTGCTTTGCCTTTCAAGTAGATGCAAATAAATAGATAAACATAAAAAAGTTGATGGAAGCACAAAGAATTTACTTCTCCTAGGAATTTCATTGCCAGTAGAATTGAGCCTATCAGAAATCAAGATCTCCTCAATTCCTGTCCATGAACCACTCCTGCCTTTCTGACTTACCTGGATATAGTTTGAATTTTTATGTTTTCTTCATTTTTACAGGACTACTCTACTGAAAGACTGAAAAAAACAAATGAAATATTGAAAGGCATCAAACTTCTCAAGTTGTATGCCTGGGAGCACATTTTCTGTAAGAGTGTAGAAGAAACACGAGTGAAAGAGCTTTCCAGTCTCAAAGCGTTTGCCCTGTACACATCACTTTCCAGTAAGTTCTGCAGCTCTAAGGACAGGCAGTGTCAGCAGTAACCAACAAACACACAATTTATTCAGTTTAGATTGTGATCAGTGAGATGTTCTAGCCACTAAAGGAGGGCTATTTATTTCCTACACGTGCATTCTTCAATAGCCAGTACCCATGTGAGGTTAATGTTTAAAGACCGGGAAAAACACAGGTCTAAAGTCAAGTAGGCCTGAATTTGCTTCCTTACAAAGTGCATCTCTATGGTCTTGTGACTTTGAAAAAAAATCCTTGATTTTGTCATCTGTAAGATGAAGATGGTAATGATTTTATACCTGTAATTGAAACACTTATCAGTTACAGTTAGGCTGGGTAGCTGGTTTCACTGTACATTTTTTTTTTTTTTTGGTCTCCAGTATTTTAATTTTGGAAAATGTAGATGGTTACAGAAATTGTATCAGAAAAGTAATTGCCAACATTCATTGTACATTTTCTTTAAATTGATTTGACTACATTACTATTGATTTTATCCCAAAGACCCTGTAAAATTACCTGCAGTGTTTTTAACTGTCTTTTTGAGAGCACATATTAGAGTATTTAAAAAAGTTTGTGAAAAATGGAATTAAGTCAGCGCCGCAGCTCAACAGGCTAATCCTCCACCTAGCGGTGCCGGCACACCGGGTTCTAGTCCCGGTCAGGGTGCTGGATTCTGTCCTGGTTGCCCCTCTTCCAGGCCAGCTCTCTGCTGTGGCCCGGGTGTGCAGTGGAGGATGGCCCAAGTGCTTGGGCCCTGCACCCCATGGGAGACCAGGAGAAGCACCTGGCTCCTGCCTTCAGATTAGCGCGGTGCGCCACCCGCGGCGACCACTGGAGTGTGAGCCAACAGCAAAGGAAGACTTTTCTCTCTGTCTCTCTCTCACTGTCCACTCTGCCTGTCAAAAAAAAAAAAAAAAGAAAAGAAAAAAGAAAGAAAGAAAAGAACAAAAAGGAGTTAAAAGTGTGAGTTTATTTTTATGCAAAACAGTTTTGAAATCCATGCATAGTTTTTTGTAATATGCATTTCCCATGTATTACTAAAAGATTTTTTTGCTCCAAAATCAACTACATTTAATTCCATTTTTCATTGACTTTTTGACCCTCCGTTGTGTTTTCTTAAACATTGTACAGGAAGTGCTGCTCTTGAAAATTGAGGGGAAACATCATTTGCAGGTGAAAGAAGCAAAACTCCCTTCTTATAAACCCTACTTTCTAACACATTTCAAGAATTTTTGAATACTAAGTGTTGTTATTTTCAACTCTAGTTTTTGAAAACAATTATTATAGAAATACTGCTGGTTTTTCTCCCCCTCAGGGAGTACTTTTCCCCTGAGTACTCTCAAGGATGATGAGTTTGTTAGTTACTGCACATGAACTTAGCCTAAGTACTTCCACTAATATTTGTTTATCAATTTTGTGTGTCAGTTTTGCTTATCTCTCTTCTAATACCTTCAGTAACTTATCATTTGGGATGTATGTATATTTTCTCTTGAATCATAAACCTCTTTGGATCTTAGAGATGATAATTTATTTTGTGACATAGGCTACAGAAGCTAATATTTTCTCTAAATCTATCTCTTCTAGCCCTAATGGTTGATGTACCAGAATTAGGAAATTTTATTGTCCAGCTGGGCACTACTGCTAGTGTGCCATCAAAATGCTACAAGGCAGGATGATTTAGATCCACTTGCTCATATGAAGGGATCTTTCATAGAGAAGTTCATTTTGGCACAAGAAATTGGGAGAGCCATGCTTACTTGTATAGTAGTACCCTAAGCTGTGGCCCCTTCCATATGCCTTTTTCTGCAGTGGGCTGAAATTCCCATGGGGAAGATGGATGCAGCCATATTGTAATGTAATGATCATGACAATAATAGCAATAACAACAACAGTGGAAATACAGAGGGTATTCAGCAAAGAAGCTTTCATACGTCATCTCATTTAATCCTCACAACAGCGCAGTGATTTAGATTCTATTACAAACTCCAGTTTATAAGTTAAGAGACTGAAGTATTAATAATTGAAGTAACTTAAAGTTCCTCCAAGTCATCCAGGTACTAGATGGCAGAGGTAGAATTTTGTTTTATGCTGAAATTTTATGTCTTTGAAAGGCAAGGAAGGAAGGAGGGACGGAGAGAGAGACAGAGTCAGAGAGCGAGAGAAAGAGAAACACACTCCCATCTGTTGGTTTACTCCCCAAATGCCTACAGCAGTCAGGGCTAGGGTAGGCTTAAGTCAAGAGCCGGAACTCAGTCCAAGTCTCCTACATGGTGATAGGTGTTATATCTTAATGTTAGCCATTGCAAAGCACACCGGACACCGGAGTAAGGGAACGCCCTACAGACCGGAGTGAAGGGGCGGCGAAGGAAAAAGGGAGACTATAAGAGAGAGAGACAGAGAGGAGAGGAGCTAGCAAGGAGAGAAGATAGAGCAGAGAAGAGGAGAGAGGAGAGCAGAGCCAAGAGAGAAGAACCAAGAACCAAGAGACCAGAGGAGGAGGCTTGAGAGAGGAACTGAGAGAGAGCAGGAGAGAAGGGCCAAGAGCCAAGAGCCCAGAGGAGGAGGCTAGAGAGAGGAACCAAGAGAGAGCAGGAGAGAAGGGCCAAGAGAGCACATGTTCAGGAACAGGCCCTTTTAAAACTTTGCCTGAGGGTGGGCAGGGAAGCAGGAGCAGCGAATCCCATTAGGATGGGGGTGGAGCCTGGCTCAGGTAGCTGGGCCATGTGGCCACCTGGCTACAACTGCGCCAGTTTCCTAACAGATAGGGACTCAAGTACTTGAGCTGTCACCTTTACCTCCCAGAGTGATTTACTGGAAGCTGGAATCAGAAGCAGAACTGAGATTTGAACCCTGGCACTCTTAGAGAAGATGTGAGTGTCCTAAGTGGCATCCTAACCACTGAGCCAATTGAGTGACCCCTAGAGATCAGCTATTAACCCAGCTTGTCTGTCTCCAGAGTAAGACTTCGGTTAGTTTTTGAAGTTGAGATGTAAGAGGAGCAAGGGCAGACATAGTCTTAACAATAAGGTACCATAAAGATAAAAATCCATGTGTTCACAATAGGAAGCAGGAATTGTGAGTCATTGACCACAGAAAGCAAAATGATTTCGTCAAAGACGGTGTTCTTGATGGTTGAGAGCTTGAACCATGGGAGTTGAATAGTGCTGGCTGCAAATCCCAGTCCTGCTGCTTTGTAGTAGTGTGGCCTTGTGCCAAATACTTATATCCTTCTAACCTCAATTTCTTCATCTGTAATATGGAATAACAGTAATGCCTCCCAAGGAGGATTCCAGTAAAGATTAAAGTGGTTAGGAATGACACAAACGTTTATTGAGTACACACTACATTCCAGGAACTATGTCAATTACTTCATACTTATGATCTTGTTTAAAGCTTCTGGCTAATGGGCTAGTGCCCAGTAACCTCTATTCCTCAATTTCCTCCTTTAAAAACTGGTACATCAGTAACATTTTGATCCCAGAATCCACTGAGGAAGTGCGACATTGCTAACAAATATCAGAATAATAGTATTTGTACAGCACTATGCAGAGACTCTCTCTCACAGGAGGAAGGGGGTGAAAGAGGACTGTGCACCATAGTAGTTAACTCTCAGATCCTCGAGGGCAAGCTGACCAGGAGGTTCCGCAGCCCGTCAGCTGTCCACCTTGCTCAGTGACTTGGGAAAGTCTCAAGTTCCTCCTCATTAATGTAGAATGTATTAATAGTACTTTGGGAAATTAAATAAGGTAATGTTTTTTACGTGGTATCTACAAATTTCATAAAGCAAAGTCAGAACAAATCATATAGAATTGAAGATCCATTTCTATTTTTATAGTTGTACTTTCTACTTGAGATAATATTTGAAGGGAAAAGAAATTTTTAAAAATCGTTTTCTAGTCTTCATTGCCAAATGGTGATGAACTGTTTATGAGTTCAATTCATGGGTTAAGGCAGAAAGACTCGATTTTATTTTTCTCTCTCCATTTTGATAGAGTTGTATAAGGAGAAATAGAAAGAACTTGAGGCTTTTGAACCAGCAAGTTGTAGGTATTAATCCAACCATTATCATTTGCTACTTTGGAATATTGTACATTACCCACCTAGGAACATGGTCTTTTTTTTTTTTTTTTTTGACAGGCAGAGTTAGACAGAGAGAAAGGTCTTCTTTTTCCATTGGTTCAACCCCCCAAATGGCCGCTATGGCCGGCACGCTGTGCCGATCCGAAGCCAGGAGCCAGGTGCTTCCTCCTGTCTCCCATGCGGGTGCAGGGCCCAAGGACTTAGGCCATCCTCCACTGCCTTCCCGGGCCACAGCAGAGAGCTGGACTGGAATAGGAGCAACTGGAACAGAATCCAGCGCCCCAACCAGGACTAGAACCCGGGGTGCCGGCGCCACAGGTGGAGGATTAGCCTAGTGAACCGTGGCGCCAGCCCATTACCCATCTAAGTGGATTCCTCCTTACTGTGTGGAGTGTTGCAATCATTGTATATGAGAATGTGTATAAAATTCTATACTTCAGTAATTACAAGCTGTTGAGTGGGAGTTGAACAAGGTGGTGGCACAGGCTGGGGAGCCAGGCTGCAGGGTTTGAATGCCAGTTGTGTGGCCTTGAAATTCCCGTTCTCCATCTTTTTTAATAAGCTAGTGAGAATATGTATTTCCTGGTACAGATTGCTATATAAATGCCTTCTAATTAAATGGCAGGAGTAGTTATTTTTCATCAAGAGGAGATTGCTTAAAGATGTAGAATATAGATAAATTAGAATGATAAGAGTGTAAAAAAAACACACACTCTTAGAAAATAACCAAAGGAGAAACTCTGGGGCGGAAATGTGGCTGCTCATCTATGTGACACTCAGATCAGTTTGGGTTCCTAGCCCTGTGCTAGAATTGATGTTTGATAACTGAATCACATGTGGACCTGCACGACCTGATGCTGTTCCGTGTGCCGAGGTGAGGGTACTCGCTGAGGGGGGACGATTTTGAAAGCCTGGCTCTGTGGTGCCAAGAAACCAAGGCCCCAGTGCTTACTTTGTCAGGACCTGGCTCCAAGGATTATTTTATCTGGATGTTGTTTGTAACATTTAACAAGAAAAAAAAAACCCTAATTTTTCCATGAAGAAAAAACCAGTTTCCAGTGAAGATTGATCCGTATGTGGATCCCATATGACTGTGGAGGAGATACAAGTGGGACATTTTTCTAGACCGCAGACAAAATGTGATTTAACCCACTTTGTTCTGTCTTCAAGGAAAGTTAAAGTAACAATAGACGATTAGCTGAAGTTTCTGAAAATGTCTCCGTGGCTCTGCGAAACTAACATATTTATTTCTTTCCACAGTCTTCATGAACGCAGCAATTCCCATAGCAGCTGTCCTTGCCGTAAGACACGTTTTCTTACTTTTAGAAACAGAACCAAATCACTGTCTATAAATGCTTTATGGGCTAGGATGTGTGGGTGGCAGTGTATGTTGCCTCACTTCTGCCACTTGCCTCTCTGTGGTCTCCATCATGATAGTTCTAATCCATGCTTGCTTCATGGAGAGCCTTTGGAGGTTGGGATCCAGATACTTCTTTGTTGTAGGTGGCTACTTCCAGCACTGGGATGTGTAGCAGCATCCCTGGCTTCTACCTACTCAAGCCAGTAGCACACTCAGTCATGACAATCAAAAATATTCCCCGACATTGCCAAATATCCCCAGGAGGGCAGAATTAACAACGGTTCAGAACTAACCTGGTTCCTAGTCATTCAGACAACAGGATGGGCTCAATCAACGACCAGAAAGTGTAAAGTAATTACGTTACCTTTCACACTAAAACGGCAAGCCTTGCAGCTGGTATTATTTTTAGAAAATGAATATGTCTTCCCTGGACACCAATGCTGTAATTATAGTAAAGATCTATGACTGAGACCCTAAAGCAGCAGACCGTTCTCTCTTCCCATAGAACACTTAGTATTGGTCAGAAAGAGCCTGATTACTTGTTAAGAACTTCGGGTTTTCCATCCACTTATTGCCTTTACTCAGTCATTTGTCAGAAGTCAATTTCCTGCTCTGTTCATGGAATCTGTTCTGTCTCACAAGTCTGCTGGGCTGGCATGTAAGCCAGTAAGAGCTCACCCAGAACAAGGACTGTCTTAGGATGTCTTGGATAAAACAGCTGTGTTCATAGTTGTAATAGATGTACTGGCATGATACGTTGGGTTTGTAAACCTGAATAGAAGGCCAGGTGTCGCTTTCTCTAATGACTCTCTTCCCGTGCACAGACGTTTGTGACCCATGCCTATGCCAGCGGGAATAACCTGCAGCCTGCTGAGGCCTTTGCTTCGCTGTCTCTGTTTCATATCCTGGTCACACCACTCTTCCTGCTGTCCACGGTGGTCAGATTTGCAGTCAAAGCCATCATCAGGTATGCACTGAACTATCTGGAATTGTCTATGGATTGGTCATGGAAATAATGCATAATCAAAGTAGTGAATTTGAAAAAAAGTATGTAAAAGATCATTAAAGTCACTGTGTAGAAATAATCTGTTAAAATTTTGATATACTACCTCCCTTTTACTTCATTTAAAAATTATTTTAAATTTATGTAGCTTTTGACTCCTTGTTTCACTTGTTTTTATTATTTCCTCCTCATTAACATCTTACAATACATGATGTTTACTGGCTATGTGATTGGCCATTATCAGCAGTATTCTAATTTATTTAATGATTACCTTTTTATTAGATACTTAGAATGTTTGTTTTCTCCCTAATATACCTAACATTGAAGCAAAGTCCTTTTTTTATCTTTGAACTTTTCTCTGATGACTTTCTAGATTTTGTTTCTAGAAGTGAAGATACTGGTTCCAGAAGAATGCACATCTTTAAGGCTCTTGATGAATATGGCTACATTGCTTTTCACTGATACTGTGGTCAGTCAAGGGATATACATTTTTAAATACGTTTTTATGAATATGGCCATAATGTTTTTCAGTGGAACAGTACCCATTAAAATGTGCATCAGTAATGAATGAAAGTGTTCGTATCAAATGCATTTTCTGTTTTAATTTTAACTCAGCCAAAAAATAAAAAATAATCCAGGTTCATAGTCTCTGCAAATGGAAACATTGGCAAGATGTAGTATGTTGCTCATTTCAATATATATGCCTCTGTAGTGTTTCTAACAAGTGTAGATTTTTCTTAAAATACCCCATAATGTCTAACTACTAAAAATAGGTGTTGGTAAGGTGTTTGATGTAGCAACTAAGATGCCAGTTATGAGTGCCTGAGTTTGAATCCTGTCCGGTCCTAACTCCAGCTTTCTGCTAATGCAGATCCTGGGAAGCAATGGTGATTGGATTCCTGCCACCCACACAGGAGCATAGATTGATTGCCCTGGGCCTTGGGGACTTTGGGCAGTAAAGAAGCAGATTGGGGACACTGCTCCTCTCTCTGCCTCTCAAATAAGTGAATACAAATATTAAAAAATAGATATGATATAACATCTATATATTATATAGATTATATATCCATATACTATTATATATCTATATATTAATATATTTTATTATATTATATAATAATAACCATTTCCCCATCACATTTAGTAACACCAGGACATTGAAAAATATTGTGGGGAAAAATGGAACTAAAAAATGGTTTATTTTGATGTAAAAAATAAATTTACTCGAAATATCAGATGTATTTTGAAGTCCATGCATATCTGTGTCTTTGAAACGTTCATGGAAAATGCATCTTAAGAGAAAATTACACCAATTTCAAAATGATTTTGCCTCCAAATAAATTCACCTTTTAATTCATAAACTTCATGGACTTTTTGAAGCGCTTTTCTATCATTTAAACAAGTATGTTACCAAGCTGCTTTACACTGTACTGTATATACCATATTCTTTCATGTCCTAGACTGTCTTATAAACAAGGCCATTTTGAAGTAGTATTGGCTTTTGGCTACATGGTCTGCATAAACCTTATAAAATCGCAGCATGTTTCATAGGCAGCCATTATTACCTTTATATCTAATATTTGAAAGAAACGCCAACATGTTTCAATAATGAGGGAAAATTGAGGCCAAAAATATATGAAGTAAAGTGTTGCCATTGACAGCAACATAAGGTTTTTTACAATGAGAGAATTTTCCCTGTGTCTAAGTATCACTGAGAAAACTTGTCTTCAATGTTCCGGTTGGAGGCAACAGCTCACATTGGCTTTACCAATGGCTTAATACCAAAAAAAAAAAAAAAACATTAAAAAGCATATGAATTATCTTACATAAATCCAGTTCTGATAGGATAGATAGTATCCTAATACAGTTTCTGTCTGATTCCCTAAAGCATGTCATTGTCATTACTAACCAGCTTGCAAAAGTTGAGGCCCTCCAGTCTCATCTGGCCACGTTTTCTTTTCTTATTGTCCTGCCTTTGGAAACTGCTGTTCAAATACCGAGTTTTGAAGCACTGCTTCCAAATTAGGCAGTGCCCTGGAAGGGAAGCTACTCTAAACAGTAAAGTTGATAAATGACTGGAGTCTGCTATTTTGGTCCTTATTTTCATGTTCTCCACTTAACGACTGTCCCTTTTGTGGTAGCACTTTCAATTGGAATTTGACTTCGCACTCTCAACGGAGACAGAATGCGGTTGATAACTTAGAACAGATAACTCCTCTGATATCAAGATGTTAGCACAGGGCAAAAGGACAGTAACAGTTGATTTGAAACAAGCAGACATCCAAGAGTGGTCCCCAATCCACAATGATTAGTTCTGTTCTGATAGATCCTAGGATGGTTGAGGGTAAATAATATCCCCTCCATGTGTCCGGTTAGCACCCTGTCTTCCATGCGTCTCAGGGAAAATGCATTTGCTACTTTGATAGTGACCTAATTGCAGGCTCTGCTCCACATTTTCCAAGCCCTAGGCTTAGCATAGCTGGTTTCTGTAAAATGAGTTTCAAAGGTAGATTTGTGGCTCCTACAGCGGTGGCTGGTCAACAGCAGCGGCCATCCCTTCTGCGTCGTGTGCCAGTTCCGGGAACCCATGGGAGTGTTTTCCCAGTGTTGATGGGGCTCTGTGTTCTCTGTGCCTGGGAACCCATGACCAGGCTGTGATGCCAGTTGGCCCACAGCGAGTTGAGCAGGCTGTTTATAATTGGAGACTTTGGTCATCTGATTTTGAAACCTCCTCTTTGGCGCTGAGAAAGTTCTAAATTTGTCCCTGCCCTCTTTTTTTCTTTTTAAAAACATCTCTTTATTTTCATTTTTTGTTTGAAAGACAGAGAGACAAATAGAGATCTTCCATCCACTGGTTCATTCCTGCAGTGTTCACAACAGCCAGGGCTGGGCCAGGCCAAGGCAAGGAGCCTGGAACTCCATTTAGGTTTACCAAGTGGGTGGCAGTGATTCCAGTACCTGAATCAGAATGCATTGCCTCCCAGGGTGCACATGAGCAGGAAACTTGATGGAGAACAGAGGAGCCAGGACTCAAACCAAGCAATCAGTATGGGATGTGGGTGTCCCATGTGGCATCTTAGCACTGCTGTGCCAAATGCCAGCTCTTCCCTATACTCCTAAATACACTCATTTTTTTTGGTGGGTTAGAAAGGACTGCCGTGTACTCCCAAATTTGTATCACACATGCGTGTGAGGGACTTGTACACTTCTCCACTGGAGGAAAATTCTATGCCATGTGAAATTCTCTGTCCAGGAAAAGGCTATGCTTCCTTTTAAAAAGACTTAGCTGGTTATCCACTGTTGCATTCACAGCATTCAGTGGGTTGGACCACTTGTAACATGGGAGAAAGAAGTACGTTGTCTCCTTCTAAGTCTAGTACTGTGTGGAGAAAGTGAAGAAAAGTCACTGTTACTGAAAACATTAAATTGAATAAGAAGGATTTTTTTCTGGCCTCATATCTCCACTTTGGATTATTCATAAAGAAATAGCTTGTGTGTCTTTTCTGTAAGATACCATGTTGAATTATTTAGAAGTAATTTGAGTTTAGGTAGCTGATATTTGAGGTATAATACAATGTGTGTCGAAAGGCATTATTTGCCAAGGAAAAAGAGTGTGTAACTAATCCCTCACTCTCTTGGGAAATTTCTTTGTGTCCTCTCCTGTGGACCTCTTGGAGGAGTGCGTGCTTGGCTATTTCCACTGCATTACCTGCAGGCAAATAAATTGTCTCTGCTATCTATCATCACACCTACTCACCCTCAGGCCTGATTTCTATATTTCAATTCACAAAATGTCTTTGTTCCTACCAAAAAACATGGCACTACCAGGAACAAAATCGGCTATTTCCAATTAATACAACACCTCTCCAAGGTACTTGGGCTGTCTAGACACCCAAAGTGAAATTTGAGAAGTGGAAAAAGAACACATAAACTTAAATCTTAACATGTTTGTGATTAATCTAAACAAATGGGAAATTCACAAGATACTGAGCAAACAGAAACTTGATCAGGATCAGAGATAGTTGCTTTTAACCCCTAGCCCTGTAATACTCATTGTTCAACCTCTAGCCTGTTACTCCATGTCACTACAGCTCAGCTTCCTCTCGTGAAAAAAGGACACAAGTAATAACATCTGCTTATGATGGCTAAGAAAATTAAATGAGATGATACATAAAACTGCATAGCCAGGCTGGTGCCGCGGCTCACTAGGCTAATCCTCCGCCTAGCGGCGCCAGCACACCAGGTTCTAGTCCCGGTCAGGGCGCCAGATTCTGTCCCGGTTGCCCCTCTTCCAGGCCAGCCCTCTGCTGTGGCCAGGGAGTGCAGTGGAGGATGGCCCAGGTGCTTGGGCCCTGCACCCGCATGGGAGACCAGGAAAAGCACCTGGCTCCTGGCTCCTGCCATCGGATCAGCTCGGTGCGCCGGCCGCAGCACACCGACCGCGGCGGCCATTGGAGAGTGAACCAACGGCAAAGGAAGACCTTTCTCTCTGTCTCTCTCTCTCACTGTACACTCTGCCTGTAAAAAACAAAAACAAAAACAAAAACAACTGCATAGCCTATTGCCTAAGTATGCCTTTTATCATTATCTATTTTAGTAATTTATCCTCACTTTATGCATCCCTGTTCCATGCCTCAGGTAATCTTCTGTAGGTCTACATTTATTTTATTTATTTATTAAACCTCAGTTACACTGCTAGACATTAGGGATTGCAAAGGTAGACGTAGGCCTGCATAGATCCACACTCTAGTTGGAGAGATCAGGAAGGGAAATGAATTACAACGTGGTGTGTGCCATGCTGGGAGGATGCTATCCACAAAATGCCACAGCCCATGGATGAGGACGCTGGAAGCTTATTGAGAGACTTGGGAGACTGCCTGGCCAGTGAAGGTTTGAGGGAGGTAGTTCTCCTTCGTATTTATTAAAGAAAAGGCAGTGCTTGGCCCATTGGAAGAAAAGGTGAATTGGAGAGAGCAGTATGTTCAAGGGAAAGGGATGAGTCCATAGGTAAAAATCTTTGTATTGTAAGGAGAATAGAATTCTATGTAGTTGGAGAAAAGACTCTGAGGTAGAAAGTATCCTGGGATGAAGCTGAGCAATATAACCCTAACTAACTGTTGTTTAAAAGAATATTTATTAATTTGAAAGGCAGAAGGCACATGGAAGGGGAGAGAGAGGTCTTTCATCTGCTGATTGACTTGCCAAATGCCTGCAACAGCAGAGGCTATGCCAGGCTGATGCCAAGAGCTACGAACTCAATCCAGGTCTCTGCTGTGGGTGACTGGGACTCCTGCCCATGAGTCATACCTGCTGCCCCTCCCCCATCCCCCGGATGTGCACTAGCAGAAAGTTGTATGGGGAATGGAGCCGGATGGATCTTGAACCCAGGCTTTCCAATCTAATAAGTAAAGATGTAGAGCGGCAAAGGGGCACCATTTTTATTTTAAGGAGAGAATTGTTGCATGAATAGATACACATTTTAAAATCATAACCGTGGCAACATAGTGGAGATTATCTCATCCTTGGTCTGAATTTGTACATTTTCCATAACCATTTTGACTGTGTGATTTCTGAAAGGACTTTGTATGAACAGGAAATGTTTGTATTCTCTATCCATTCACCAGGCATTATTTTTATATTTCTAGTGTGGTGCCTTTCAGGGTTGAATGATCAGACTTGGCTAGCAAAGGTTCAGAGAGCACAGAAACCAAAGCTCTTATTTAAACAGTCATCTCTTTAAGTTGTTAGTCCAATTTGGAAGCTAATAGACTGCCCCAGTAGATTTTATCTACCTTTATGTTTCTGTGGCATGTAAGACCAAAGGCCTTGAAGATCATGGGCAACAGACATAATTAAATTTATTTTCCTTTATTATGTTAGCATGTCACAGAAACAATCTGGCAAGACCTATCTGGGGGCACTGAACTTAACTACAGGCTCAAATAAAATGAAGGAAAAAACCCTCTACTATGAATATCTACTTTGTGGTTTCTCATCAAGAACAATACTTCCACTGTCACTCATGTTGCCAATACCCACAGTGTGTTTGCTCCCAGCATCCTACCCCGCATAAGGGAGCATTTCTTTGCATTTGCAATGTCACAGAATTTTCTTAAGGAAATTCTGCAGACTTTACCTGTAAGAAGATGTTTTCAAACCATGTTATTGTTTTGTTTTTAGTCATTTACATTTTATTCATTGATACTTTTGCTCCTGATTTGAAACAAGAATGGAAAGGGTGGATTGCTAAGAAGTCACGTGCACTGCCTACGGAGACCACAAATATAGGCAAGCCATTGTTCTGGAGCAGAGCCTTGTAAACCATCGTGTCTATATGAGCACCTCTGCATGTTGTTAAAACATATATTTTGATTGATATTTTGGAGTAGGGCCCAAGGCTCTCTGTTTCTAATAAACTCCCAGGTGACTCTTGCAGCTGAATCTCAGCCAATTCTTTGAGTAGCAAGAGTCTAGAGGGCCCTCTTACTGGTTCAGAAACTACCTAAGTGGGATGCTACAGTGGTCAGTGGCCCCAGATCTGAGTAGTGTATGCTAAATTATTTTAGGTGGGTTACTTAACTTCTCTGTACATCCTTTCCCTTCATTTGTAAAATTATAATAATAAAACTTATTTCCCTCATTGGTATTATTTTTAACCACTTTATTCCAGGTTCCTATCCAACTCTGCTATCTTTGATAAGGAGTATACTTGCAAAGGAGAAAAATTGCAAAGGGAATGCCATGTAATTTAGGATGACAGATTGTCTTGGTATTCCTGAGCTTTTACGATTTTAGCACTGAAAGGCTTATGTCCCAAGAAACCCTCAGTCCTGGGCAATTCTGGATGCTTGGTTATCCCAACTAACTTCCCAGTTGGTCTTGAAAAATGACTCTTGGGGGCTGGTATTGTGGTGTAGTGGATTAAGACACTGCTTGTGATGCTTGTATCCCATATCAGGCACCAGTTTGGGTTCCAGCTATCCCACTTTCATTTCAACTCCCTGCAAATATACCTGGGAAAGGAGTCAAGTGCTTGGTCCCTGCCATCCACTTGGAAGACTCAAAGGGGTTGGAGCCGTGCTCTCTCCCTCCCTCTCCCTCCCTCTCTCTCCCTCTCTCTCCCTCTCCCTTTCACTCTCCCTATCTCTGTCTCATGTGTGTGTGTGTGTGTGTGTGTGTGTGTGTAACCTTCAAATAAATTAATCTTAAAAAAAAAAAAGGCTCTGGGAGGCAAATATTCACCATAATAATGAATGAGGGAAGTGCTTATTCCTTTAGTTAATTCTTGGTTGGTTGGCGGTGGTTCTGCTGTTAAACCTTATTCTGTGTTTGCATTTTGCAGTGTTCAAAAGCTCAATGAGTTTCTCTTGAGTGATGAAATTGGTGATGACAGTTGGCGAACTGGTGAAGCTTCTCTTCCTTTTGAGTCCTGTAAGAAACACACCGGAGTTGTAAGTGCTCTTGCTCATTATGGGAGCCGTGAATAGAGGACAGTCTGAACAGAATGCATGTTTAATAGGGTTGGAATCAGAAGAAACCGTAAGCTTTATTTTTGAACCCACATGGAGAAAAGTTGCTTGCTGCATCTACAGCAAACTTCACAAGTCTAAAATCCATAAACACATGTGTAAGGCTGATTCTGATACATTATGAAAGAATTATCCCCCAAAACGGATAATGCATGTTCAGTGGAAAAAAAAATTAAGTTGTTTCTTCAGGCTTTATGTAAAAATAATACAAAGCAAGTTTACTGCTCCTTCACCATAGTTCAGTTACATTACACTTTTTGGTTTTAAAATGTACCAGCTGATGTATTATGTCTTTTTTTTAAAAAAAGATTTATTTATTGGGCCGGTGCCGTGGCTCACTTGGTTAATCCTCCGCCTGTGGCATCGGCATCCCTTATGGGCGCCGGGTTCTAGTCCCGGTTGCTCCTCTTCCAGTCCAGCTCTCTGCTGTGGCCCGGGAAGGCAGTGGAGGATGGCCCAAGTGCTTGGGTGCCTGCACCCGCATGGGAGACTGGGAGGAAGCACCTGGCTCCTGGCTTCAGATTGGCACTGTGCCGGCTGTAGCAGCTATTAGGGGAGTGAACCAACGGAAGGAAGACCTTTCCCTCTGTTTCTCTTTCACTGTCTATAACTCTACCTGTCAAATAAATTTAAAAAAAAGGATTTACTTATTTATTTGAAAGTCAAAATTACACAGAGAGAGGTCTTCCATCCGCTGGTTCACTCCCCAGTTGGCCACAACGGCTGGGGCTGCACTGATTCTAAGTTACGAGCCAGGAGCTTCTTCCAGGTCTGCCACGTGGGTGCAAGGATCCAAGGACTTGGCCACTTTCTACTGCTTTCCCAGGCCATAGCAGAGAGCTGGATCAGCAGTGGAGCAGCCGAGACTCGAACTGGAGCCCAAATGGGATGCTGGCACTGCAGGCGGCGGCTTTACCTGCTACGCCACACCACCGGCTCTGTATTATGTTTTTGATCCACCTGTCCTTATTATTATCCGTCCTTATTTTGTTGTGATTGCACATATTTAGTTTGCCACCTCTGTGGCTTGAATAAAGCCGTGAGATTAGAAATGAGCAGAGCTAGAATTAACACCTGAATCTGAAAGTTGTAGACCATTCCATTCATCCATGACACAAACATTTACTCCTTATCTGCATGAAGTCTGGAAACATGGTCAGTATTATTTTATCATGTGTTATGTGGTATATGATAGACCATTCATTTTGTATTTCCTGGTGTTTCCTGACATATTGGCTACTCTATACTTTGTACCAAATCCCTGGGATGTGGCTATGAACAAGGCACATGAGATCCTTCCTCTCATGGAGTTTGTTTTCTTAAGATAGGAGTCAGGTGCAAAAAAAGTTAAAAAAAAATGTATTACAGTACATTTTAGGTACTCTGTTAGTTACTCCAGATCAGGGAAGACAAGTGATATTTGTCCTTTTGAGACTGGTTTATTTCACTAAGTATAATGGTTTCCAGTTGCATCCAATTTGTTGCAAATAGACATTTTAAGATTTGATGATTGTTTACAGACCTTGTCTCTTCTTTTGAGGAACAGTTACATTTTTTTCTTCCTGCTGCGTTGTGAACTTTTTACTTAGTATAGGGTTAAACTTATGAGTATTAAACTGAAAATATATTTTGGGAATAGGAGAGGGAGGAGGAAGAAGGGTTGGAGAGTGGGCGGCAGGGAAGGTGGAGCAGGAAATTTCACTGTGTTCCTGAATTTATGTGAAATACCTGAAACTTGTATAACAAATAAACTTTTAAAAAATAAAGATAATTTCACCGCATGAAGAAGACACAAGAGGGTATTGGAGAATGCATGCGAAGCTTAAAGCAGGGCGGCCATTGCCCAGAGGTTCCCTCTGAAGAGCGGCCTTTGAGCTGAGCCACGAATGAAGAGATGGTGTACATTGTGCAAAGACCTGAGAGAAGCACACTTGAGGCAGGGGAACTAGAGCTGTGACGACCCCGAGGTGGGAAGTCCTTTGATGTATTTGAGGGACAGAGGGGCATCATGACTGGAACCTGGCAAGGAAGGGGACTATGAGGTGGGGTACTAACAGTGACGAGGGTCTTGTAGGACACATGGGAAAAGTTTGGATTTTCTTGACCTGCAGCAGCAAACCATTGGAAGACTTTAAAGTATGAATTAATGTAATTTTGTTTATTTTTTTCAAATTGTTTTGGCTACTGTGGAGAGAAAAGTTAATGGGGACAAAGAGTGTACCAGGTCAATCAGTAAAGAGGTCATTATGATCATGTAGATGGGAAATCATGATGGTTAGAATTAGTGTTTGTTATGGGTGCAATAGACTTTGTGAACACCTGATCAGATTCAGTGTACATTTTGAAGTTACGCTAATAAAAACTTGGAATAGTTTGTATGAAGGAGATGAGGGAAAAAGAATTCAAGGAAGAGTTGTGGGTTGGTTGTTGGCGTAACTCTTGGGTGGATGGGTTAGCTGTGAACTGAAATAGGGAGGCTGAGAAGTGAGTAGATTGGTAGTTAGGGTAAATCGAGGTATATTTAGCACATGATAAATTTGAGATACTTAGTGACATCAAAGAAGAGACAATGGCAATGGAAATGTAAATTTAAGAGTCATTGGCCATTAGATTATTATTTACATCAGTGGAACTGTGACTGTCCTGGAATCCATATCTGAAAAAGTCCAAGGAAATTCTTTAAAATTAGCGTGCATCTTTCTAGCAGTAATGTAGAAAGATGCACATTCCAAAATGAGTCATGTAATAAGTTAATATTAGTTGTTCATGTTACTATTAGAGAATGATATGTGATCCAACAAAAATGCACATACAATCTTCTAACTGAAATTGATTGGAACTTGGAAAGCCTTACCAGGAAGTCAGTCTATATCAAATTTTTCATCACATCATGTTTTAAACTACTAAAAATAGTTAAACCAAACACTTGGCTATATTTAAACTACTGTTTTCTTTTGATTTTCTGGAGTTATGTTTTTTTACTCTCAGTTAAGTTGTTTTATTAAGCAGGTGTGGTTGTGTCTGAGAAAGAAATACCACCCAAACTTCTACACACTGGAGTAACAGTGTCTTACCATGCTGGCTTGCTATTGTGTGGGTAGGGACCTAAAGGCAAGAATATATTAAAGACTGTCTATATTTTTAGACAGCCAGAAAATCAAATATTTTATTAGAACCAGCCTTGTCACACGTTAGCAGATTCTGGACTACCAAAGAACACATGAGATCATCTTTCAGAGATGTGTGGATGACCAGAGTGACCTCAAGAAAGGAGATGCAGGAGGTCAAGTTCATGGAGTTAGAGAAATCTGAAAAATATTTCATACGAAATAAGGGATAGCAGAAAAATTGAACTGAGAAAAGGTTTTTGGAAGGAAAAATGGATCCCCTTCAAATGCATCCAATATATTCAGGGTTATTGAAACCAGACTGGACTTGTGATGTCTTTTAGGGTCATTCATCACTGCTGATGGGCCAAACCACAAACGACAAACTTTTTTAGATGGAGTGAAAAATGCTGTGTGTTTGAAAATAACACTCATGGAAACTGCTTCTTGAGATGCTATGTATTTTGTAAAAGCTTAGAGTTAAGTGGTTTGGCTGTAGCATCTCCATGGAGAATTAGTGACATTCTAGAGCCAACATCTCTTCAAATTACATCTGTGGAGCTCTAGCTCAAACCTCTGTCAACACATCTCTTCTTCCCACCCTCTCCTCTATTCAGTGAAGAGCATGAGGTCATTCCTTTTGGACCTCTGGGTAAAACTGCTATAGAATTAGACTCTAGAATATAGTGAATTTTTTATGTGTAGGTGTAGACCTGTTCTGTGGAAGATATACCTATCCCCAAGAACCGAAGCTTTCCACAGCATCTCATGTAGGGTACTTCTAAGGATGTCTGAGTGCTGTGAGAAGTACAAAGAACACATACTGTCTGTTTTTTAAGGTAGAATGTGTTTTGCATTTTCTATGTGATAGAACCACTGCTAATACTTTTTTTCCTGTTTTCTGATTGACTTTTAAAAATCTGTGCATTTAGGTGTGTGGAGCTTAGGAATGTACTATTCAATAGTTTTTATTTCCTTTTGATATCCCAATTGTTAGAAATTAGAAAAGCAATTTCCTATTTGGATTAAATTATTAATGATTCAAGGACATTCCTAATTTCCATAGTAGATCTCTTGTGAATTTTTAAAAAAGCTAAACCTTCAATTCCAGACCCCCTCCCAAAAGTTTTATAATTCTAGAATCCCTTTTGCTTTTCTAGGGTGTTTAGCAGTTTTAAAATGCATCAGTATTTAGCCTTCAAAATTTCTCTAATGTATTTAGGACAGACAGATAATTATGTTGAAATAGTTATTCACTAGGTTCCTAAACAAATTCTGATTATATTTTTTACAAATTAGAGGTGTAGAGAGCTAAATTTTCTTTTCTTTTTAAAAATTTATTTGAAAGGCAGAGCGACCGAGGCAGAGAGGGTAAGGAGGGAGAGAGAGAGAGAGACAGAGACACCAAGAGATATCTTCCATTTTCTGGTTTACTCCCTTGATGGCCACAATGGCCAGGACCATGCCAGGCTGAAGCTAGGAGCCAGCAGCTTCATCCTGTTCTCCCAAATGAGTGGCAGAGGCCCAAGCACTTGGGCCACGCTTTGCTGCCTCCTAGGAGCATTCTCAGGAAACGGAGTAGTAGCTGGGATTCAAACTCGTGCTTCAATGTGAGATGCTTATGTCGCAAGCAGCATCTTAACGCACTGCACCACAACGCCAGCCTGCAGAGCTAAAGTTTCTGTATTCACCTTCAAAATGTATCCCTCCATTCTATGTGGAATTAGACTCAAAGTTAGAGAATGACAAATTTCTAGTTATAGTCTAACTTCACTTCAAATATGTGAACAGTTGGCATCCTGTTTATGATGGATGAGTTAGTCTGTTGACAAAGAATAGAATTAGGACACAAGATAGAATCAATCATTCTGTAATACTTAATGATGTACATCATTGGGGAGAAAATCATAGATGTTGATGTGCTTGTTAACCTACAGTAGATTCTTGAGTGATGTGTAGCTTAATATGATTTCGATGAATGTATCATGTTCAAAAATGCTCATAACTCAGAAGATGATCAATAATGACTGCTGGAATGTTTATATATCCTCTCACTTAACAAGTGAGTTAACCTGGTCATCTTTTGACAGGACATAGATTTTTTAAAAATAGTTCATGATTTTCAAAAGTGGAGGAGCCCAGAATCAAACCAGGCACTTCATATATGATGTGAGCATACTCAGTGGCATCTTAACCGTTGCACCAGATGCCCACGGTTGTTTTTTTTTTTTTCTTTTACTACTTGGATATATTCCCTTATATCACTGGAAAAAGCATATACAAAGTCTAGTTTTGGAATTAGTACTTTAATTTCCATCATTTGGAAGTGGCATGTCTTCCTATTTTCATTTTTCTTAAGAGATGTGTGAATTAGCTTTAAAACTGTAACAATATTTGTTTCATTGTGTACCTTTTCTTTGGAGAAACCATTGAGACGATTCAAATACTACATCTACTTTAACTTTACAGTTTGTTCTTGGAATTCAAGCGGAGAATTAACAATGTGTGTTGATGTTCTCTAAAATCAATTTGTCTCATAAAGCTTCAACTTGCTTTCTTTTCTTGGAATGCAGCAACCGAAAACTATAAACAGGAAGCAGCCTGGAAGATATCACCTGGACAGCTACGAGCAGTCCACACGACGTCTGCGTCCCATGGAGACAGAAGATATTGCGATAAAGGTTACTTTCTTCTGGATTCTTAGATGGGTCGAAATAGGGATGGCATTAGTTTATCCTGAAGTTCTGCCGAAGAAGCCTAAATTGTGTCTTCAATGTCACTTTACAGTGGTGCTTAATTCTTACAACATTTAAAAAACATTCTGATGGGTTTATCATTCTCGGTTCTTCCTCATCTCCCCACCACAGTTTTTGCTCCAGCACTATGAATTTTTCCTCTGATTCTTTGTTAGAAGCTGAGATCCAACTAAGGATTTCCCCAAGTCCACTTAGGTTGATCTATTAGGTAAATGGATTTATAGAGAACACCAATGCTATAAATCCAATTTTTAAGGAAATAGATATTAGTTATTTTGAACCTAGAAAAGCTTAGACCAATGCATTCACTGAGCTTCCAAATAACTGCCTTTGATCTCATTTCAAACTTGATGTACATGGTCTTGATACTTGCAGAAGCCAAGGCCTCTGGACATGAATGCCACCATTAAGAAACTAGCCATTGTAGAAAAATGAGCTACAGTGTCTACTCCAGGCTCCTTAACTCCCCTGCATGCCATGGCCCAATCAGAGGGAAAAGAAGACTTGGTGGTATATGTATAGTAGAGCCAAGAGCTACTTTTAATTCTCTCCTTGGTACCTGACACAATGCCTGTCCCACACTAGCCATGTCACAATTGAGCAGACTTTTTATTGGATGGAATAAGTTAGTGCTAACCCTACCACTGCTGGTAACTGGATATATGAACTTTGGACAAATTGATTTCCCGTCCTGCATCATGGTTGGTAGATGTGTCATTTTAGTATGACCGTTTGGAGGATAAAATGATATAGCATATGTGAATTAAATGGGCTCTTGTGATCCTTAACTTTGGCTGTACATTAGCTTTTCAAATATGAAACCTAGGAACCATTTTTGAATAGGTCTAGGAGAGGGCATTTAGCTTAGTAACGAAGATATCCATGTCACACACTAGAGTGCCTAGGTTCAATTCCCTGCCTGTTTCTGGGTCCAGTTTGCTGCCATGCAGAGCCTGGGAGACAGAGATGATGGCTGAAGTGATTGGATTCCTGCCACTCATCTGGGAAACTTGCACTGAATTTCTGGCTCCTGGCTTTGGCCCCAGGTCCATCCATCTGCCATGGCAGGCATTTGGGGAGTGAACACCTCTCTGTACACGTGTGTGTGTGTGTGTGTGTGTGTGTGTACGCACACATGCGTGGCTCTTAAATATTCTAATAGTTCCCTAGGCAATTATAATGTGTGAACTGGTGTGAACTACCAGGCTGTGACAGTTTAAACAAGAGGCCAGAAAGCATCCTCTATGATGTTACTTCCTAAATAAGCCCAGGTTATATAGTAGTAACTATAAAAAAAGCGTAGTTCCTTAACATTCATACTTTATGATATAGTAGGAATCTAAAAATGTTTTCTGTATGTGCCTTTTTAAATTTATGTTTACTTGAAAGTTAAAAAAGACTATCATTTTTTCTCTAGCATTGACCCTTAAACACAAAACAAAATCAACACCTGCTTCTAAGTGGCCTCTAGCTTGCTGTGCCTTGGAATGGCCTCCACATTTCCAGGGTGACCTTCAATTCCAACTAATGCTTTATTTGTGGCGATAATTCCAAAGCTGTTAATGACATAGTTATCTTTTTAAAACATATATTTTACTGTGAAATAATCATGGTACATAAAACACATAATTATATTGCTGGCTCCTTTAGAAAACGTCTGCAACAACCACATTCTCTGCTCTCTTCTACCTTTCTCCTGGGATATAATTGCCACCCGATTTTAAGATTTTTATTTTTTAAAAAAAGAATATCCATTGGTTCACTCCCTAAAGGCCTTCAATGCCTGAGGCTGGGCTGGGCTGGGGCTCAATGCAGGCCTCCCAACTGGGTGGCAGGAGCCCAATTACTTGAGTTCTACTTGTGCACCTCCTGTTTAGTATCTGAGCTGGAAATCCACTAATGCACCATTGCTCCATTTGCACAGCTGCCCCCGCTTCACACTTGGTCACTACTGGAAATTGCTCCTCCCCCGAGATCTTATTCCATTATGAGAGTGGGTCACTGATGACACAACCCTGATCGCCTGGCTTTCTCAGGCATCTGCCTTCATGGTCACTGTTGGTTTTAACCTTCTTGAAAACTCCAGTATCTTGAGTCCCTTCTTTTTCTCCCTATCCTCCAGCCTTCAGCAGATCAGCCTTGTGTGTTCTATGACTGGGCTGCTGAGTGGTGTGGAGAAAATGACCCAATGGTGAGGGTTGGCATACCCACAGATGTATCATCTCCGACCTCAGCTGACCTTTACCAGTTCTTGGCAACACCTCTGCTTGCCTCTCATTGTCATTATTTTCCATCACCCGTAGTAGCTGTCCCACCACCAGCAGTCTCTTCCTGCCTTCAGTGTCCCCTTTAACCTCCTCTTTCTGTGGATAACCATGGTTCCTATTCGCTGAAGACTTTGAAGCCCTTTCTCAATGCCATGCTGACCCTCTTCCAAACTCAACTATTCTTTGACTCCTTCATCCTCTCTGGGATCCTTAGCCTCTCAGGCTGAAAATTTCTGCCAGTGTCATTTGCCTTTTAGCCACAGTATCTTAAGCCTCTGCCCTGGCCAGCTGTGTTCATGACTTCCAACAATATATTTTATGGTTTCCTGATCTTGGGCCTGTTCTCACTGTAGCTCTTTATGCAGCAATGGCTTTACTGATATTCAAAATCTAGCAAAAAAGGCATTTGCTTCCAGAAAGTTTTTAACTTAGCCTAAAAAAACTGATCTCCCTTCCGAGCTGCTGTAGTATGTATTGTCTGTTTTCTCCATCTATTTTGGTACTTTGCCAACACTGTCTGTTCTTGTACTTACCTTTAACAGTGGGATGCAGTCCAGAAAATGTGTCATGCCATGAGTCACTTTTGTCTGATTGTAGTAAGATCATAGAGCGGCCGGCGCCGTGGCTCAACAGGCTAATCCTCCGCCTTGCGGCACCGGCACACCGGGTTCTAGTCCCAGTCGGGGTGCCGGATTCTGTCCTGGTTGCCCCTCTTCCAGGCCAACTCTCTGCTGTGGCCCGGGAGTGCAGTGGAGGATGGCCCAGGTGCTTGGGCCCTGCACCCCATGGGAGACCAGGAGAAGCACTTGGCTCCTGCCTTCGGATCAGTGTGATGCGCCAGCCGTGGCGGCCATTGGAGGGTGAACCAACGGCAAAGGAAGACCTTTCTCTCTGTCTCTCTCTCACTGTCCACTCTGCATGTCAAAAAAAAAAAAATCATAGAGCTTACACAAACAGAGAGGCTGGATGCCATGAGGCTATATAATCCTGAGAGGCCGCTGTTGGGTGTGTGATCTGTCATTGACCAAAGCATTGGTATGTGGCACATGACTGTCCTTCTTTGTGTGGTTTACTGACTCAAGTGATTGCCAACTCCAGGGAAATGGGGGATGATGGATCATCCTTTCTTTGTAGTCTACACAAATCCCAGCACAATGCCTCACAGGGAGTAGGCAGACATTTGTAAAGCAATTGCTAATTCTGCCCTTTCATGCCACTCTCTTCCCATGCCTAACTATGAGATGGAAATTGCTAAATACTAGGCCATACCTTTTACAAGCTAGAGAAAGCCTACATACATGTAAGAACACAGTCTCACTTTTTCAAGCAGAGTGTTTTACTCTTTAAGTTGTTCATTCAATGGACGGCTTTCTAAGGGGTGTATTTAGTTACAATATAGATGTCATCAATCCATCCTACAAAATTCCTAAATAATAATGAGCTTAGTTCATCATTTGTGGTTTTGAAATGAAATGTTAACTTTTGAGGAAAATATATCTTTATATACTTCTGGTTTTTCAAGCCCCTTCCCTCCCTGTATCAGTGTCTATTCCATCCTCCTAGTTGTTGGGTTCTGCTTTCCCTCTTTTCATTTATCATTTTTGTAAGTCTTTTTTTTTTTTTGACAGGCAGAGTTAGAGACAGAGACAGAGAGAAAGGTCTTCCTTCCGTTGATTCACCCTACAAATGGCTGCTATGGCCAGTGCGCTGCACTGACCCGAAGCCAGGAGCCAGGTGCTTCCTCTTGGTCTCCCATGCAGGTGCAGGGCCCAAGCACTTGGGCCATCCTCCACTACCTGCCCAGACCACAGCAGAAAAATGGACTGGAAGAGGAGCAACTGGGACAGAGCTGGCACCCCAATCAGGACTAGAACCTGGAGTACCACGCCATAGGCGGAGGATTAGCCTAGTGAGCCATGGCGCTGGCCGGTTTTTGTAAGTCTTAAGACTGTCAAGGGCTGGATGGTTGGTGCAGTGGTGAAGACACTGCTTGGGACATCCAGACCCCATATCAGAGTGCCGGAGTCTCAGTCTTGCCTCCACTTCCTATCCAGCTTCCTGCTAAAATACTGAGAGGTAGCAAGTGATAGTCCTGCCCCCAAGTGGGAGACGTGGATGGGATTCCAGGCTCCTGACTGCGGTCTGGCCCACTGATGGCTGTTGTGGGCATTTGGGAAGTGCACCAGTGGATGGAAGTTTCTGTCTCTCTTTTTCTCTCTTTCTCTCTCTGTGTGTGTCTATTTCTTTGCCTTTCAAATAGTGAAAATCCATGTTTAAAAAGCTGTCAAGTCCACTTGAAGCCCATTAAAAGAATACATTGCTTGGGAGGTAGCGTCTATGACCTTGACTGAAGGCTGACATTCATGCCAGCACAAGTGTTGCTGTGCCTCTGTTTTATTTTTCTCTCCCCTTCATTCTTTCTTTTACCTTCAATGAACAGTGATAAATCTACACATTTAGGAAACTCATTCATTACAGAACCAACCTTCTTGCTTAACAAAGTTATTTTATTGGATTAAGTTAATAGTTATTTCAGTTTTTTACTCGTACCACCAGGATTCTGGAAGTTGTGAAATGCTAATCAATGAAGCAGTAAACAGCTATCAGTGTTGGGATATCAGTGGGAAAGATTTGAGATGACTACTTTTGAAGTGGGCCCATAGATAACTGATACAGACTGGGAAGGATTGCTATGATTTTTGCATTGCTCATAATAGCACTAATGAAAGACAGTCCTTTCACTTCCATTCTTTTTCAGTTTTCATGTATAACACTAAATAGTTATAATTCTAAAGGAGAAGTTCACTGCTGTGTGTTATACCTTGCACTGAAAAGCTTGCCGTACTTTATTTATTAATTTATTTATTTGACAGGAAGAGTTAGACAGAGAGAGACAGCAGAGACAAAGGTCTTCCTTCCATTGGTTCACCCCCCCAAATGGCCACTACGTCCAGCGCACCAGGCTGATCCAAAGCCAGGAGCCAGGTGTTTCCTCCTGGTCTCCCATGGAGTGCAGGGCCCAAGCACTTGGGCCATCCTCCACTGCACTCCCTGGCCACAGCAGAGAGCTGGCCTGGAAGAGGAGCAACCAGGACAGAACCGGCGCCCCAACTGGGACTAGAACCCAGGGTGCTGGTGCTGCATGTGGAGGATTAGCCTAGTGAGCCGTCGCCCCAGTCTGCCGTACTTTAAAAAGAAAATTTATTTGAATCAGAATTATTCTCTAATACCACATGCATGATTTAGTTTCTGTAATTTTCTTCTAGGTTACAAATGGCTGCTTTTCGTGGGGCAGTGGTGCAGCTACTTTATCCAACATAGACATCCGGATCCCAACAGGTCAGAATCATTTCTATTGCAATCTTTTAATTGTTAATTGTCATAACCATAGTTTTCCAAGATAATAGAACCTAACAAAAGGAAAAAATAGCTTTGTAAAGACATAAACTTTAGTTATCGTTATTGATTTGCCACATATTGTTCATGAGCCACTGTGTCACTGTCGGGATTGCTGGAAGTGTTCAGGTTGGCCTTTCTGTGCCTTGGCACAAGTTATTTGCCATCCACTTGGTGATCTGTGCCATTTAAATAATCGGGTAGTTGATTTCTCATTTTGTTTGAGAAAGGTTTTGCAAAAAGAGTATATGATGAAATGATTTTCTCTTCCTGAATACTGATGAAGCTTTTAAGATACATAAAGCTGAAATACAAGGTAACTTTATGTATTTATTGATTTTCCTGGTTATTTTAAAGTTTTACTGAGATATAGATTGATGTACCACAAATTGTATCTATTGAATGTTTATATTTTGATGAGTTTGAGCATATGCGTGCCTTCCAAATAACACTACAACAATCAAGGTAATAAATGTACAACCATTTCTAAAGATTTCTTTGAATTCCTCTTATGTGAGAAAAACGTTTAACATGAGATACATCCTGAACATATTTTAAAGTACATAATTGTTTATACTGTAGGTATAATGCCAAATGACAGGTCCTTAGAACTTGCTCATCTTAAGTGGGATTTTTTTTACCCATTAATTCAACTCCTCAATTCTCCTTCCTTCATTCGCTGAAACCACCTTTCTATTTTCTGTGTCTATGAGTTTATTTTAGGTTCTTCATATAAGTGGAATCATACAGTATTTTTCCCTCCGTGACTGGTTTATATCACATAGCATGATATCCTTTGGGTTTATGCATATCGTTGTCCATGGAGGGCTGTCCTTTTTAAAGGCAGGGTGGGGTGTTCCATTATAGGGATATACCACTTTATTTTTATCCATTCATCTGTCAATAGATATTGGATTGTTTCTTTATCTCTGCTATTGTGAATAATGCTACATTGGAAAAGAGAGTATAGATATCTATTAGAGAGCCTGGATATAAAATTCTTTTGTATGGATACCCAAAAGTGGGATTTCTGGCTCATTTGGTAGTTGCGGCTTCAATTTTTTGAGGAAATTCCATAAGGTTTTCTATAATGGCTGCATCATTCTCCATTCTTAGCAACACTGTTGAAGGGTTTCAATTTTGCCACATTCTCACCAATTATCTATTTTTTTTATCATGACTGTATTAACAGGCATAAAGTGGTATTTCACTGTGTTTTTAACTACATTGCCATTATGATTAGTGCACTTTTTAATGTATCTGATAGCAATTTGTACATCTTCTTCAGAGAATTAGCTATTCAAGTCCTTTGCCATTTTTGAGTTGTTTGTTGTTGCTGTTTTTGCTATCAAAATTATTACATATTTTGAACATTAACCGTATATGAGATAAGTGGTTTGCAAATAGTTTTACAAAGAGAGAAAGCTTCCATCTGGTGTTTCACTCTCCAAACGGTTGCAATGGCTGGGGCTGAGCCAGACCAGAGCCAGGAGCCAGGAACTCTAACTAGAGTCTCCCATGTGGGTGGCAGGGGCCAAAGTACTTGGACCATTTCCTGCTACTTTCTTAGGCCTATTTAGCAGGGAGCAGGATTGGAAACAGAGAAGCCAGGATGAAGTGGTGCTCCAATCTATTGTATAGTATGGAGTAAAATTTAATCTTTTTCATATAAATATCCAATTTTCCTAATACTCTTTCTTGAAGAGACTATGCTTTTCCCATGTGTGATCATGATACCCTTATCAAAGATGAGTTGACTATAAATGAACCATTTTATTTCTTATCTCTCTGTAATGTTCTATTGGTTCATGAGTACCTTACCTAGTAAGGTACTATACTGTACTCTCAGTGTAGCTTTGTAATAAATTTTAAAATCACGTGTGTGATAACTCTGTGTTTATTCTTGCTCAAGATCGCTTTGGTTATTTTGGTTCACTTGGGTTTCCATATGGATTTTAGTAATTTTTCTATTTCTGTAATATTTTTTTTTTTTTGACAGGCAGAGTGGACAGTGAGATAGAGAGAGACAGAGAGAAAGGTCTTCCTTTGCCTTTGGTTCACCCTCCAATGGCACCGCGCTGATCCGAAGCCAGGAGCCAGGTGCTTCTCCTGGTCTCCCATGGGGTGCAGGGCCCAAGCACTTGGGACATCCTCCACTGCACTCCCTGGCCACAGCAGAGAGCTGGCCTGGAAGAGGGGCAACCGGGACAGAATCCGGCGCCCCAACCGGGACTAGAACCCGGTGTGCCGGTGCCGCAAGGCGGAGGATTAGCCTAGTGAGCCACGGCGCCGGCCTCTATTTCTATAATATTAAACATTGGGGTTTTAATAGGTATTATCTTAAATCTGCAGATCACACTGGGTAGTATGGGAATTTTTAACAATATTAGTTCTTCCAGTCCATGAGCACAAGGTTCCTTTCCATTTATTTGTGTCTGCTTTAATTTCTTTCATCAATGTCTTATAGTTTTCAGCATTCAAATCTTTCATCTCTTTGTTAAGTTTATTCATAAATATTTGTATATTAAAAATTCAAAATTGAAATTAAGGAACCAATGCAATCTAGAATAGCATGAAAAAAGAACAAAATATTTGAAATAAATTTTATTTAAAAATCTGAGTAATTGGATAGAAATGTTATTTTGAACTACCCTGTTGGTCAGTAGGTTGGAATTTTATATTATACATGCAAGTTGAAGTGAGAAATTTTTTTCTTAAATATTTATTTATTTATGTGAAATACAGAATTAGAGAGTGAGAGTGAGTTCTTCCATCTGCTGGTTCACTTTCCAAATGAGTGCAATAGCTGGAGTTGGGTCAGTCCTAAGCCAGGACCCTGGAGCTTCTTCAGCATCTCCCATATGGGCACAGGGGTCCAAAGACTTGGGCCATTTTCTGCTGCTTCTCTGGGCTCATTAGCAGAGAGCTGGATCTGAAATGGAGCGGCTGGGATTCAAACCAGCTGGTGCTGCAGGTGGTGGCTTTACTTGCTATGCCACAGCGCTGGCCCTGAAGAAATTGAAAAATTGAAAAGAATGTCTTATGGAAAGAGAGGAGGAAGGAAAGAAGAGTAGAAAAAAAGGACTATCATTATGTTCTTAGGCTATATCTACAAATCTTACTGAATCTGTTAAAAATCAATTAAAATAAAATTTAAAAACAGAGAGGAATCTTTTTTTCCCAAAGAAACTTTTTATTTGATGAGTACAAATTTAATAAGTACAACTTTAGGATTATAGTGATTCTTCCCACCATACCTGCCTCAGGAATATCTTAATGCCTTATCCCAAATAACTTTCATGTTAATATTCTATTTTAGTCAAAATTGTCTTTTTCTCCTGGGTGAGTTGAATAATAAAAAATTGAACAATAAAAAAGTTAAAACTATGTTCTAGACAAGATTTACATTGTTCTAATGTTGACTATTCTCAGTTTTAAAAATAATAAAAATAATAAATGATTTCCTAAGTTTTGTCATTTTTTCTCTCTGTGTTCAAAAAGACCTATGTATCAAGAAAAGGAGCTGTCTAGAGTACCTTATTGCTGCAGACCCCAAACTGGGCAACTGACATCAAATATTAGGCCTTTCTAAGTTGGTTTTGCGTTGTTTTATTTCAGTGAGAGAATCCCATCTCCTCCTGTTAATATCTCTTGTTTCATCTGTCTAGGTCAGTTAACCATGATCGTGGGTCAAGTGGGATGTGGGAAGTCCTCGCTTCTCCTTGCCATCCTTGGTGAGATGCAGACCCTGGATGGGAAAGTTCACTGGAGCAAGTAGGTAGAGTTTTAATTAACTTCTGATGCTAATTATCTGGTCATTTTCCAAGGAAACACTTAGAGCAATAGATTCCCATGTGATGAGTCTGAGTACCTCTTAGATATGAGGGCAGCTTTTTTTTTCTCTTTAAATTAGTGTAAGTCTTACATGTCATAAATTTTAAGAACTATGAAACAGTTTATTTGAGTGGTTTATGATAGTGTTAACCAGCATGTTGCTGAGATAAAAGTACAGTTGTACTATAGAGTTAGATTTTTCAAACTTAAATGGGTAACACAAATAAATAACTTAAAAATTCACTGCATAATTAGTTTATTTTAAAAAATCAATTAGTTAACTTTTACAAGACAAAGAGACAGGCAGAGATCTCCCATCTACTGGTAAATTCTCTAACTGCCCAAACAGCCAGTACTTAGTCAGGAGCTGGGAACTCAATCTAGGTGTCTCATGTCAGTGCCAGGGACCCAAGTACTTGGGCCATGACCTATGACCGCCAGAAGAGTGCATCAGCAGGAAGCTGGAATCGGGAGAGGAGCTGAACTGTAACTCCAGCACTCCAGTATGGCACGCAGACATCCCGAGAGGCATCGTAAGCACTATGCCAAATGCCTGCCCCCTAAAAAAGTTATGGAGAACTTGCATTATGTAATGCTTGAATGCAAAAAGATCCTAATGGTTCAAGATTCAGGAGAAGAAATATCAAATGACATTTTCCAAGCTCTTCCTAAGATTCTGAAAAAATCGCCTATTTCTCTTTGTGTCTATTGTAAGCTATGCACTAGAAGTCAATAATTAGAGATGGTCAGGTCAGCCTCGTGTGTTGTGCAATTCTGCATACATGGCAAAGGGAGTATCTAGTATGCTGCTTTTTCTAGCTATGGGAATGGCTGCTTTGTGTTCTTTAGAGCATATTGCCACAATAAAGTGATTCTGAGCCATAATAGTATACAATTGAGTAATAAGGAATAAATTGCATTTTTTTAGTTATGCCAACCTACTAGCCCCATGAACAATTTAATGAGTCAAGTGGTTATAGCTTATCTTAGAAATTGAACTGCAGACTTGTGATCCTCAAGTAGATGTGACTTTACCTGTGGAGAACATTTGGCAATGTCTGGAGACATTTTTGGTTGCTGTGTAGGGAAACTGGGTTGTTACTGACCTAGTTGATATATGCCACAGATGCTTCCTCCAATGCACAGGACAGCTCCCCACAAAAAGAAATTATTTTTCCTGAAGTGTCAGATGTGCTAAGGTTGGGAGATCTTTTTCTAGACCTACAGATTTTTTTTCATTGAATGTTAGTTATTTTGCTTTTGTTGGAAATGCAGAGAGTGAGAGAGAGAAGGGGAGAAGAGAGTGTGAGTGTGAGAATGAGAGTGAAAGTGAGAGGTCACCCATCCACTGATTCACTCCCAAATGCCTTCAACAGCCAGGGCACATTCAAGCCAAAGGCAGGAGCCAGGAGCTCTAACCAGGTCTCCCGTATGTATGCCAGAGAACCAACTACGTTAGCTGCCACCTGCTGCTTCCCAGGGTGCTCATTAGCAGGAAGATGGGAATGGGAGTGGAGCTAGGACTCAAACCTCCGCCCTCCCATATAGGATGAAGGCATTCCAAGCAGCATCTCAAGTGCTGCACCAAATGCTCACCCCTGAAGTTATTCTTGACTCTCACCTTCCACCTTGCATCGTGAGTGTCGTCATGACTCAGTCTACTGTTTATGTATACAGACATCTCTCAAGAATGACGACTATTTGTAGGCCTTTTAAGGGTAGACTGTATATTAAACTCCAGTTAAATGAAGTGAATATTGGATGTGTAAATTTTAGCTGGAATTGGTAGAACTATGCATCCATAGTTCTGAGAAAAGTGGAGTGCACTTTGCAGCCCTCCTGTTGGACACATCTACCAAGGATGAAGAATGAAGAGCCTGTTCAGTGCTGTTCCCGTGGAGTGGGCAGTGACTGCTGTCTCCCTCTGCTTCATAGCAGGTGTCTGCTCATCACATATGGCAGACTTTGACTTTGTCTACACTGCCATTAGCACCTTCAACCTGGAAAAAGTGGATCTGGTGGAGTTTATACTGTTTTATAGAACCAAAATTGAACCATCTGCATTTTGTTTAACAGAGAGAAGACATGAAAGACACTGACAGGAAACCTTGGGATTTTGGTTTCATACCTCCTGGAAGTTGTCCTAATCCAATCTTCTCCAGCGTTATTTATTTAAGTACTTAGAAGCTCCACTTGGGCCAAAATGACTCCTAGTATTATTACTTATCATTCCCTTAATGGATAAATGAATGAGATTTCTGAATTTCACAAAACTAAGTTATTTATTTCCTTGCTTTTCTAACCATATATGCCGTTAATATCATGTGTTATTTCATAAAGGTTGCAACTTCTTTAAAATTACATAGTTTAGTAAAGCTTAAAAAATAAAGGTAAAGAAATCAATAAGCAAAATAATGTTTGAATAGTGATCTGAGAAGTTAATAGAAACGCATGCCCGGGAGAACTACATAATTAAACAGCATGGGTCACAGATTCCTCTCTGAGCTTCATGGAAGCAAGGCACAGAGTGTGGACCAAGATGAAAGCATATTTTACTCATTAGAGATTAGGATTTTTTTCTTTTTGGAAAGAATAGGAAAGAAATCCCTCCCATGTGCCATAATTTTTTTTAAAAGCCAGTGAAAGATTATATAATTCCCAACATCCCCGATATTCCTAAAATGTATTCAAAAGCCAATCCCATGTGTCCATGTTACAAACAAAAAATGAGAGCATACTATTATTTAGTAAACGTTCTTGGAGGATTCAGAGGGCCAGTTGGAGTGGGATAGGTACTTTTGAAATGCGTAGCCCAAGCATGGAGATCTTCATCTCACAGATCCAGGAATGAGATTCAGCACATTTGGAAGAATGGGATCATTTTATATGTTCAGTATGTTAACTGGGGATATGGGTAATTTGTTTCTTAATGTTTTTATTTTTTCCATTCAAAAAACATGTATTGAATGAAACTTTTGAGTAACTCATTTTTGCCTAAGACTGAACTAAAGTATGGAGGATTTAGAAGTGGGCAAGACCAAGGCCCTGACCAAGTCTAGCACATGGCCTGTAAACAAGTAATTAACAGCAAAGCTGGATAATATTAGCTTGTGATTCATGCTGTGATGACAATAACAAAATGGCCAAATGGTAGAAGATGGAGGATAAAGAACCCTTTGCAGTTTATTTAAGGAAAAAAAAAAAAGGAGGAGTTAACATTTGAGCTGAGCCGTGAATGATTCTGTGGGGCCAGCCCAGCCAAGAGAGTGTGTGCAGGAGCTGGCAAGTGCGGAATGAACTCCTGTGGGAGGATCAGAAAGGAGACCATGATGGTTTGTGGGTAGTGACAGAAAGGCAGGTACGACCTGAGGTTAGCTGAAGAGGAAGGCAAGTGGGATGGGGATGACAGGGAGTGAAGGTTTTGTTCTTAGTGGGAAGCCATTAAAGAAGTTGAAGTAGAGGGGCGCTTTGTGTTTTGAGAAGATACGATCTACAATTTGTAAAGATGATTCTGACTGCTGTCTGAATAAAGAATTGTAGAGTCTCGAAGGGAAGTGAAGAGGCAGTTCAGGAGTTAATTTCACAAGTCCACTTGAGAAATTAAAGTAGCTTTAATTACGGTAGCTGTGGAAATGGATTAAAGTGAATGGAATCAGCCTATATCTTGGAGCAGCCAAAGCCAATAAGATGAAGATGTGATAAGGGAGTTAATATAATGGAGCACTTTTAAAATCTTTATAATTTCAAAATCATCTTCTGTGAACATTGGTTCCAATTGACAATAACTGCATCTTTTCAAAAAAATACTTGGGGTGGGCATTTAACATAGAGGTTAAGATGGCATTCAGGATGCCCATATCCTGTATAAGAGAGTCTCAGTTCTGTGTCCAAACCAACTTTCTGCTAGTACACACACTGGGAGGTAGCAGATGTTGGCTCAATACCTGGTTCCTTGCCACCCATGTGGGAGACCCAGATGGTGTTCTTGGCTCCTGGTTCCACCTAGCTCAGCCCTGGCCGTGGTGGACCTTTGGGGAGTAAACCAGTGGATTGAAGATCTGTTCTCTCTGTCTTGATCTCTCAGCCTTTCAAATAAACGTAAATAAATACTTTTAAGAAATGTTTGTATTGGCTCCAACCAATAAACAAGTGAAAAACTAAGCCATTAAGAAATTGAATTAGTTGATGTCAGTTCGTTTTGTTTAATTAAAAGAATTACATCATTTTCTTGCATGGTATCCTTAATATGTGATCAAAATATTTTTAGATCAAGATTGTTCAGAGAATACTGACCTTCTGTTAAAAAGTTATTTGTAATTACTTTTTGCATTCCAGAGAAAAAACTATGTGCCCAGTCTAATTAGCAAAGGCATGTAAATATTAATTAAAGCAAATCTATTTTAGAAATTGTCTATATTTATGGGTTGATGATGTTCCAATATTGAGAAGTTCTTCATTTCAGCATATTGAATTCTTTGGTACATTTTTAAAGCTCAAAATAAAATAAAGCAAAAACAATAAAAGTTATGGGAAGGCACCAAGTGCCTTGCTGTCATTCTTCAGCCACTGCCTGTACTCACATCACTGGTTACATAAACTTTATTTTTAAATGTGTCCTCATAAACTGGCATGAGCAAAATCCAGAAAAGTCCTCTGACCTATTGCAGGAAGAACTGTTTGCTTTGGGAAGGGGAGAGGGCATTGCTGTTCATCCAGAACACATCTACATGGTAGAGCCTGGTATACGAGGACACTGATAGACATTGACTAGGGAATTGCTAATGTTGACCTAGCCTACATGTTGTAGCCCAGACATGAAAAGGAGAAGAGAACTGAAATGTTCTTCAAAATGGTCAGAATGCCAATTTTCACATCAATCTTGTATCTAAAAAGTTCTGCCTAACTCAAGTGGTCTGTTCCTGGTTGTCAAAGTTCTTGAG